GTCACACTTTTATTTTTCAAAGCTACAAAGTGTAAAACTTTTTTTTAACAAAGTTTACCTTGAAAGCACGCGGCATTTACTATGTTATTAGGTAAACTAATGTTTTAAAAGTACAAATTATGGAAATATTTTTATATTTCACTAAACTTTCATGCATATTGCTTTATTTTTGATATATTTTATTAGTAAACTGTACTGTAATAACTTCTAAACTGACAAATTCAAGACTTTTTCACACTCATTATACAAGTGATATGGTATGATAAAACTAGTTTTTGTCTTTCAAATCTCAGATCTCTTAGAAATTGGACTTTTTTCCAATGTTACATTATGGTTTTTTTTGCATGAGATTGGTGGGAAAACTGTGAAAAACTATTTCATTAAAGCAAAATGGCGTTATTTAAACATTTGGCTAGAGAAATTTATGAACAATCTCACATTCAGAAATGCAGCTTTTAATTAATAAATTTCCAACAAATTTTATTATTATTTTCGCTACTTGACTCGCAGATTACCAATTAATGATATTTTTTGCGCCACGAACTTAGCACACAAAAAAGAGGTGCAATCGTAACTGGGTTACATCTGGATATATCCGGATATGGGACTTGTCGACAATGTGCCAATATGTCATATCTTAATTAGGCAATATATAAATGAACTATTGGTAACGGTAACTATAACTTCTAGAAATTGAATTTGTGATCAAAAAAACAATTTAGAGATGAACTAATAAGAACATGAGACGTCTGAACAAATTAATTAATAAAGATGCCTTTATTGTAAAATTTGTTTGTAATTGCCGATTTGTTGCAGGAAGTCAGAATTCATTTTATTTAAATCCATGTTTCATTCATCCATTAACATTATCATACAAAAATGAACTATCTTATTCGACTTCTTTTCATTTTAAACTTATATACCTTTTTTATCTCTGATATTTTTGCTTGCAAATGCGCTAAACCTGATAGCTATGGCAGCGTTAGTACTTACTGTGGTGGTGAATTACAAATGCATGGTGGTGGTATGTAATGAAGTCTTCGTATGCTTTACTTATAATTATTAATAAACATAAATATTTTTAGAAGATGATTGTGGTTGGGATATTTTGTGAAAATGCTATGGTTTAGGATCTACAGCTAAACTTATAAGTCTTTGCGGGTATAGTTGTTGTAAAAATAATTTTGACTACAGTAAATGTTACATCGGCAATGGATATTTTAATAAATGTGATGAAACTTATTTGCCTAAATCTGCTAAATCTGTTACAACCAACCCGATCTCCTCAACAACCAATACAGATTCGCTTAATGTAATTACTCAATTTGAAAAATTAAAGAAATCAAGATTTTCTCAAACCTCACGTGAATACTTTAAGGCTAATAATAACTTCTTATGGGTTATTTTATGTAGAATTATAATAACATTAAACTTGCATGTAGAAATGTTTAAGGTTGTTGCTTATGGTGATGATGTAGGTAATAATTATGTAGATAATTTAGCAAAAAATGCACATTTTGATTAGGATCGTTATATAGTTTTTTGATGTGATGCTAGTATGATGAAAGTCCTTTCTTGTTGAAATGAGATTATTATTGAAAATAAGCTGCATTCATTTTTAAAAAATATTTGCAATTACAAAGGGTTAGAGAAATTTATTAATTTAAATAGAAATTCTAAATATCGAACATTAAAAGTTGATTGGACATCCACATTTAGTTGTTTAAATTGTAATATAAATAACAATGAAACTTCTGTTTCTTCTTCTAAAATGAAAGCTCAAAAAGTTCATTTATTAATTGAAGAAATTCCTACAATTGAATAGATGAAGAAATTGCTACTTGATTTATATGATGGGTGGATGTGCCCTATATGTGGATTACATAATGAAACCTTTAATTACGTATGGACGTGTAGTGATCATTATGATATTATTAATAATATTAGAGATAAAACAATTAATCATCTCTTGACTTGGATATTAGAATATAATGATAATATACAAGATTTCAATGCTCTCATGGCGCTTGATATGTAGGATATATCTTATGATCCTAACGTGTTTACTTTTATCAATCTTATTAAAGGAATTATATCTATGTCGCTTTCAGAATTGTTGAGTTTTTGGACTACAAAAAAAAATGTTGATGTTTTGATTCAAATGAGGCAGTTTATTTTTAATGAGATATTTGAAAATGTTTGGATTCCAAGATGTTCGCATTTAAGAGAATTTGAACGATCATTGGGGTTAACTAAAAAGAAAAAATTAGAATTCAAAAGCGTTCATTCTTTACCTAATAATAATAGTAGTAATAATAATATTATTCATTATGATTCTTTAGATAGTGTTAGGAATTACATTTATTTTGGTAAAAATATAATAGAATTTTATACTAATCTTACTTCGTAGCGCCATCGTAGATTTTAGTAGTTTGATTTATATAATTTTATAGGGTCAATTTTACTTTCTTCTGCAGGGCAGGCTTCAACTTACCAAGTTTCGGCTAGTGTATGGGAGGTAGTGGGTTAATTAAAGAAATGGTTTTCAGGTGTAGTTGGTTATATCTTTAATAGTTTCGTTTTTAATTGCCCCACCGTTGAAGTAGATTCTTCTGATAGTTTAGTTCATTTTTTTATTTTACTTTTTCATTTTTGATATGTTTATAAAATTTGTATTCTCTAACTATTACTGTTAAATAAAAATAAAAATAAAAACTTTCTTGTTGATCGTTAGCTTAAAAGAGTTAAAAGTTAAAACTAATACAGTCAAACCTTTATATAACGATATGTCAGGACATATATGAAATTTTTAGAAAATATCATTATATCAAAGTTATACCGATATTTATATGTCCTCACATATAGTTGGAAAATAAAATTTTATCGGTATATCAAGTTTTTAATAGTATATCGGTATATCGAATATTGGTATATCGAGGTTAGACTGTACTTGTCTTTTTTTTCACTTTTATATTTCTTTTGAGAGTATCAAGCGCCAGTACAATAGTGCTCTTTGCAAATTTTGTTATGAAGTAAAAAGGTTGGCATATTGGAAAGTCTGATCAAGTGGGTTGCGGCATGGCACAAGAAATAAGATATCTAATATCTATTAATATAAAGTACTGACACGCAAAAGGTCAACACATTATTCACACGGTAATCTTTACTAAAGTTTGATTATGTTTTTTTTTAAAAGGTCAAATTACCATATATAATCACGTTATCATAATAATAGTGTCTTTATACAATTCGTAGTATTGTCTTATTACTTGTTACAAAAAAAGAGCAAAGCGTTTAAAATGAGGAAACTTGGTTTGTCCAAAAAAATTGGCTTCCTGATGGGTTACCAAATGATAAGTCCTCTGAAAACTGATGTTGATGAATCAGAGGTAAATTATGCGAGACTGATGATGACGATGATGATTGGGTCACGGTTGGAATTACATACATAGCTCGTTTTGGTTAAATTAGCCCGATCAAGATTATTGAACAGATTGATTACTGCGGGATATTCACCTCGTAGCCAGCACCTGCTTTAGCTGGAGTATGTGTAGAGACGGTTGTCTCAGCCTCAGTTTCAGTTTCATCTCTAATCTTATCACATTCAGTTTCAAGCTCAGTGATATGCTGTCTTAATCTAGCTCGGATGACATGATCGGTAATACTTTTTACACGACAGAAAATATTCAATGTCATATGGCAAATTTAAATAAATTTATTAATACAAAATAAAAAATAAGTACAAGTGCAGGATGCAAGCCTATAATACATGCTAATATACATTGATTATTTTTTTTCAACGATATCCTTCCATCCTGGCCCCTTTCTATCAAGTTCTTTCTCCATCCTTTAACAATCCTAACAATCCCACAATTATGCCAATAACCATCCTATTCCTTGTTAAATTCGATGGTACACTTGCCTGAGAGACTTCACCTGAAGAATAAAGCAAAAATTACCAATCCCAAGCAGTTGTTGTAATGCCACACAGGTAGTCGAAATCATCCTCATCGTCCCGCTTTCGCACGTTTCATACGAACTTTCCAGCTGCTTGTTTATGGGCGAAGCCCATTGTGAATTTATTTTGTTCGTCTTCCATGATGCAAATAAAGTCTTCAGAATCCTAAACAAAGATTATTGTAAACCCGCGTTAGTTCATTGCTGAGTTCAAGCACCGATAGATAAGTCATACCTTTATTGCGTAATCAACTCGCCCGGAACTTTTTTACTCCAATAATTTCATATTGAGGACGCATGCTGAGTTCTTTCTTTGTATCATCCCGGAGTGCAGTATGGAGTATTGACGCAACATACTCATTACGCACGGCTTCCAAGCTATCCGGACGCAAGGTACCATAATCTCTCAACTTATATTTTTGTTATACATTCTTCAAAATACTTATCAGTTTTCACAGATTGGTGGGTAAATAACGGAATTGCTTCAATACTATCGGAATCAAGGCTATAATTCATCTTTCAAACTGCGGTACGAGGAGAACGACCGCAAAAGTCTACAAGGTTTTACGAAGGCCTAAACTCAAGCCTAAACCTCGAAATTCTTCCTCACTCGTCTTGAGGCACGTCCATTAACTTTTTGTCTGTGTATTATTCGTCGTAAGTCCTTTACGCAGAAATCTATAAATTTGGACGTATTATATTTTAATTTCTTCCGCTAACGTGAGCGAGTCATTTCCAGTAGCAGTAGCGGAAGTGGTGGTAGAAGCAGGTGTATTAGTTTCTTTAGTGTTATTAGGCTCGGGTGAAAAAAAATAGTTGAACAAAATCTTATGTGAAACATTTTTAAACATTTTTATTGGTTAAAATTAATATTATATATAATTGAATATTATTGGTTAAAAAGGATCTTACCTGGGCTTCTATATATATCTGATATGAAAAAAGTTTCCTGTCGCACAAACGTAGCCCACTCACATGCTACATAAGTGTAGTGACGTACCCCTTAAGACTTTACTGATACATTTACCTCAGCATCATTAGAGATATCATTAAAAGTGATTAAATTAATGAGTCTATCAATAGCACAAATTCTCAATATAAGAAGGTATATGTGACGATGTTTTGTATAATAACTTTTTCCAAAACTGTTATATTGATATATAGAGGTTTAACTCTTAATTTCAATCCAAAAAAAATTGTTTCTACCTTATTAAAATAATAAAATGTTTTCATTTATTGTAATAATTGTTATTCTCTTGCTTCCTTTTATGTTTCCTTTCGCCTTGATCAGTTTTTTTTCACTTTCACCCATTTGGATACCAGTTACTGGGTACAATTTTTAATGAATAAATAGTAGGTGGAAAACATTTTACTAACATCATTGTTTCAATACAGATATTACTTTACAACCAAAGTGATAAAAATTATTACTTCCAAAATTCCTCAAAAGTATAAAAAATTTGAAATAATTCTACAAAAAAGAATTATGCACAATCAACAGGAAGGTTAGAAAAGGCAGATAGGATTTGCTAACTATATAAAATATCTAAAACTAATGTCACCACTTTCATTATCAGCTCTAGATGACGATGAAATTGAAGCTCAAGATCCATTTTTAGTAATCATTCCAAATAACACATGGATTAATCAGTATGGTATGGCCGCATACAACGCTGTTATGGATATATTTGCCACCAATGGCATGGGACAGAATCAACGCAGAGATAGAAATTCTCGACATATATTTCACTTTAGGGAGATTGCGGATCTTTATTCTTTACGCGATAGGATCAAAAATAATAATTTAGCACCAAACGCTTTCTGTGTATCTCCAGATATTCTCAATTATTATCAACTCACTTTTAATCTGATTGCTCCAAACCCGCCAAACTTACAACAGATACCAATCGGTACAGCATGGATCATAACAAAAATGGGAGTCACTTCTAGTGACTATACTGAAGACCGTCAATTTTTTTATTTCTGATGTATAATAAAGTACTTCTAAATTTAGAATAGCAACGGCCCTTTGTACAAAATATTTGTTTTTATTTGCTTTATATAATAAATTGGTTATAAAAAAATATATTAAGCTTTGTATATTTATATCATATCGGCAGATTTGTTTTATTTGCGTTAAATGGTCTTAAAAAAAGATTTTCACAATTTCCATTGCCCAAAATTGTTTTGTAATACTAGAAAATCATCTGATAAGTAATCCTGTGACTATATAATATGTTAAATAAAAATCTACATTCATAATGTTTAAAATTTTTCAAAAAAACATAGATGAAAAAAACCTATTTCACTAATAAAAAATCCATTTCTCACTCATATAGAAATGTGTTATTAGAAAATAAGTATATTTCAATAAAACAAATATATAATATGATTCTAATAGTCAAATATTTATAAAAAAAAAATTTAAAGTCGTTAATAAAAAATTTTTCTTATAAATAAGGATTTAAATTTTATACACACTTATGAAGTAAACCTCGATATAACGAAGAACACTATATAACGAATTGTTAATGTGTGACAGATATTAACATATGAAAAAACCCTTAATTAACCAAATTTTATCAATTATGGACTGTATACCATTATACAAAAGTTACAAAATAGCATATAAAAATAACCCTTTATAATGATTTTTTTCCAGTAAAACGAAGATGACTGATATACCAATGGCTCTATGATCATTTAATAAGAGGATAATTTTTTTTTAAATACACAATATATTTTTTAAATACACAATATATGAAAGGCACAGAATGCTTTTATAAAAGTTATTTAACAAATCGTTTTAATAATATTAAAATATTAAATTGTGTCATCGATTTCATTAGCTTTGTATTTGCACATCAGAGTTAACTCGGTTTGCATGGCACCTATCTACTATCTATATTTTATCTAGCATCCCTATAAAAATAAAAAAGTAGGAAGTTTTTTAAAGAAAATAATAATAACATCTCCCTCAGCCTCCTTTACCTTAATTGTCCTTAATTCCAAAAGTCCGGTCGTACTTTTCATCCAGCAACACTACAGAAAAGAAAAAATAAATAAATAATTAATTTATTTAATTAAATAAAAAAAAATAATGAAAAACACCTTCCCAACCCTCCTTTACCTTAATTGTCCTTAATTCCAAAAGTCCGGTCGTACTTTTTGTCTGGCAACATTACAAAAAAAAAAAAAAAAAAAAATTAATTAAATAAAAAAAAACTAACGAAAAACACTTCCCCAACCCTTTCTTACCTTAATTGTCCTTAATTTCAAAAGTCCGGTCATGCTTTTATCTGGCAATACTACAAAAAAGAAAAAAAATAATAATTAATTAATTAAAAAAAAAAATGAAAAACACCTTCCCAACCCTCCCTTACCTTAATTCTAATAGTCCGGTCGTGCTTTTCGTCCGGCAACACTACAAAAAAGAAAAATAATTAATTAATTAATTAAAAAAAAATAACGAAAAACACCTTCCCAACTCTCTCTTACCTTAATTCCAATAATCTAGTCATGCTTTTCGTCTGGCAACATTACAAAAAAGAAAAAAATAAATAAATAATTTAATTAAATGAAAAAAAAATAATGAAAAACACCTTCCCAACCCTTCCTTACTTTAATTCTGGTCATGCTTTTCATCCAGCAACATTACAAAAAAAAAAAAATAATAAAATTTTTTTTTAAGATCGGTTATCTGATTAGATTGGCAAGTCACATGTCCACTGCCTTTATACCAAATAATTCGTTATAGCGTTAACAAATTTTTTATAACGAAGGTCTTATTTTATTTAATTTTATTTGATCAACTAAAATTGAAATAAAGAATTAAAATTAAAGTTTTAAAGGTGAATGAAAAGGAACAAATAAAAGAATGAATAACAAAAAAAGGTGATGATAAAGAGCGAAAAAAAGGAAGAGAGATGATGAACAAACAGATGAAATGATGGAGAAGTAAGAGATCCAATTAAAAATAATAAAAGAAAAATGATGATAGAGACAGACGGCAGATGATGATAGAGATGAATAGAAGATAATAATAGAAATGAACAGAAGGTGACAATAGAAATGGATGGAAGATGCAGGCAGAAGATGATAGAGGCGGACAGAAGATGATGATTGAGGTGGACAGAAGATGATGATAAAGACGGATGGAAAATAACAATAGAGACAAATGAAAGAAGATGATATGAAGAATGGATGAAAGACAATAAAAAAAAATTTTTTTGAAAATTTTAAAATTTGTGATTATTTAAAATTACATTGAATTATTTTATAAAAAAAAGTTTGAAATTAAAGTAATTATTATTAAATAAATTTGCTTATAGAAAACTATTTTTATTACAAACCTATTTAAAAAATAGGAAATCAAAAAAAATCTTAGTAATTATTTTAATTTTAATTTTTTTTTATAAAGTAATTTAGAATAATCACAAATAATTATGAATTTTAAAATTATAAAGGGTAGTATTATAATTTTGAAAAGTACAATACAGTTAAACCTTTATAATTGCATACCTTTTGGAATTAAATATATAATTTTAATTTAGAGATAGTATACATTTATAAAGGTAAAATAATTAAAGATTATATAAACTTGAAATTGAACCAGAAAGAGAAGGTATATATAATGGGTGCAATTATAAAGAATGCAATTATAGAGGACTGACTGTAAATTGTAATTTAAAATTATTTAATTTAATGGAAAAGTTAAATAATTTTAAAATTAAAGATATAAAAATTAATAATCAAAAAAATAAAAAAAAAATATATATTTTTTTTATTTAATAATAAAAATGGTATATAATATAATTTTTTTAGCTAATTAAAATAAGTAAAATTTTACTATTAAACAAATAATTTTAATTTTAAAATAAAATTTTACTATTAGAATATAACTAATATATATATATTTCCAGCTATTTATTTTTTAAATACTGGCTAAAATTATTATAGTTATAAACTGTATATTTTGAATCCTTTTATTATTTTTAATATCTTTTTTTGATAATTATATTTACATATTTTTTTTACTGATGCTTTTACATTTTTCCTTTATAGTTCTTACTTTCTACCACTTAGTAAAATAATCTATTGCTATTGAAATTATATATTTTTCTGTTTTTGGTAATAGCCCATTATATTTATCTTTCAGTAAAGTTAAATAAAAAATATTTTTACAAATGATTTTAAACATTTGACTTATGATTAGGCAGTTACAGCAGGTATTTAAAATCCTTTGGTAGAAAAGTAATGACTTTTCATATTAATTCTTTAATTTTGATATCTACTCTGAATAGCTTATAAAATATTTGGGTGATTAAAGTTTCAGGTTAGGAGTTATCTTACCATTAGGCTCTATAAGTGTTATACAAACCATAGAAAAAACAGATGGAAAGATCAATTAAAAGAGAAATCAAACCATAATAATATGAAATTATTTAATTTTTTTAAATGAAAGAAAGTTTGATTCCTAAAAGTGGGCGTATGCAAAACCACATGTTTGTACAATGTACAAACCATATTCTTATAATTAATGCATCACATTATCGTTGTTGCATTATTATTTATACATTGATTTTTTATAGAGTTAAATTTTTGTATAATTTCAAAATTTAGGTTGTATTTTATTATTATAATCGTGCAAATTACACATGATCATTTTTTCCTCTTGAAACGCTCTATCACTTTGTTTTTAGAGACCGCCATTAACTTCATAACTATCGATAGGAGTACTTACAGGAGCAACTTGTAGTCGACCTGGAGAAAGTGATTCACCTTTCGAATGACCTTATTAGTTTATTACAATAAAAAAATAAATTAGAAATATTCATTTATTTTTAAAAAATTATTCTAAAAGATAAAAGAAATAATCAGGTTTACGATCTGGATTATTATCTAATTCGTTTAGCTTTTTATTAATTATATCGAGAACTTCTTTAGTAAATTCCACTTTAAAAAAAAATTTAATTTGATCAGATTTTATATTAAAAACCAACTTTTTTGCGGTAAATACGGTACCTTGATGTTTAACATGTTTATCTTCTTTTGATAATCCAGAGCTGCTTTCATTTTTTTCATTCTCTGATACTTCATCGTTACTATCATCACTATAAAATTCACAGCCGATTTAATCATTTGATAAAAAAAGACTAATATATTAATATGTAACCTACTTTAAAGATATAAGGACATTCTTAAAATCTGTAGAATTTTTCTTTTCTGTACTCATGTTTTCAGTTTCCTTTTTTTGAAGTTTTTTTTAGGGGAAAAAAAGAATAAATAAATAAAATAAATTTCTTTAATTAATGCGGGATAAAAGAAAAAGTTATTTGAATAAGCTACTTATTTGGAAAAGTATTTATTACTTTGCTAGTTAATATTGCCATCCACGTGAAACCAAATAGGTCTTTGCCAAATTAGAGTAAAATATGGAGGAGTAAAAGTGACAATCTTTAATTACATTTTAAATCACTGTCGATCTGTGTAACAAAATGATGATAAATTTTTTCTTCGGATAGATTTCTTTTTTAAATCAAATAAAAAAAAATGATAGCAATAGGATTAGAAGGGTCAGCAAATAAATTAGGAATTGGTATAATAGAACATAATACCGAAACAGGCGTAGTTAAAATATTAGCAAATATAAGACATACGCACGTTACACCACCTGGCACAGGATTTTTACCAAGAGACACTGCAGTTCATCATAGGGAATATATTATACCAGTTATTAAAGAAGCTTTAAAAACGTCTAATATCAAAATTAAAGATGTTGATGTAATTTGTTATACAAAAGGTGGGTGATAAAGCGTTTTAGCGAGGAAAATGTGGATAATAATATTGATTTTAAATCACAATTTCTTTTATATTATTTGATAATAAAGGACCGGGAATGGGGGCTCCCTTAGTCTCTGTTGCTATTGTCGCTAGAACTTTAGCATTATTATGGAATAAGCCTATTGTAGGAGTAAATCATTGTATAGGACGTTAGTAGTTTTTTTTATAATATTTTCCTTTTAAAATTTATTTTTCTCTTATTGACTAATTCTTAATTTCATAAGATATTGAAATGGGAAGAGAAATTACTGGGGCGGATAATCCCGTAGTATTGTATGTTAGTGGCGGTAATACTCAAGTAATTGCATATTCAGAACATCGGTAAGAAAATTTTACAAAAAGAAAAGAAAATTTTTTAAAAAGGAAGAATCTTAACAGATGTAGATTTCAAAGATAGATGATGAATAATGAATTTAATCTTTTACTTCAGACACAGTAATTTAATTCTTGATAACAAAATGAACTTTATATACACATAGATATCGAATTTTCGGAGAAACGTTAGATATTGCTGTTGGTAACTGTTTGGATAGATTTGCAAGAATATTAAATTTACCAAATGATCCAAGTCCAGGATACAATATTGAACAATATGCAAAGAAGTATGCTCATGATCCCGTATAAAATTCTCAATTATATAATATATTTATATTTATTTATTTTATTAATGATATTTATAATATATATATATTTTTTTTTAAAAAAAAACAAAAAAAAATGTTTTAGAGGAAAAAAATTTATTGAGCTTCCTTATACAGTAAAAGGAATGGATGTATCGTTCTCAGGAATTTTATCAAATATAGAAACTATAGCAAATGATCAATTATCAAATAATCAATGTACTCCTGAAGACCTATGTTTTTCTTTGCAAGAAACTGTTTTTGCTATGTTAGTTGAGATTACTGAAAGAGCCATGGCTCATATTGGTAGTAAAGAGGTTTTAATTGTTGGTGGCGTTGGATGTAATTTAAGATTACAAGAAATGATGGCACAAATGGTTGAGCAACGTGATGGAAAAGTTTTTGCAACTGATGAAAGATTTTGCATTGACAATGGAATTATGATTGCTCATGCTGGATTACTTGCATATAGAACAGGTTTTGTTACTCCATTAGAAAAATCAACTTGCACTCAAAGGTACGTTATAAAAATTTATTAATTTCTTTATAGTTTCGCTATCAAATATATATATATATATACATATTCATTTATATTATATTTTTTATGTAACTATTTTAGGTTTAGAACTGATGAAGTTTATGTTGCTTGGAGGGATTAACTAAATTGTAAATTAATTGTACAGTTTTTTAATTAAATAAATAATATAGTTTTTAATATTACAATTGTTTTTTCTGTTGTCTCTTTAAAAAATAAAAAAAAAATGACAATAAATAAAGAAATAAATTACATTATTTAAACATGATAGAATCTTTTTGTTAATTTATTTTATCAATATCATATATAATCTACAAAAATCCCCACATTTCTTACTAAAGTCAGTTATAATTAATAAAAAAAAAATTATTTTATTTTTGTGCAATAACATAAATCAATTATTAAATATTTTCATTGCTTTACCTGAATTAATCGTCATCATCAGAATCTAGAATTTCTATGATTTCTCGAAGTTTTTTATTTTGTCTTATTTCTTCAGTTGGGTTATTTAAACCAGCTTCAATATCAATAAATTTTGTTTCTTCAATTATTTCTTCAAAATATCTCGCAAATTTGACGTTTGGTGTATTTGAAACCTTTCTATCCTTTCTTGAATTATCTTTTCTTGAATTATCCACCCTTTTTCCATTACATTTTTCAATGGATTTGTTAATATTTCTATGATTATTCTTTGTAATTCGTTTATCACGTTTCCTTTTACGTGAACGATTTTTTTTCAATTGTTCACGTCCTCTTTCAATCTCATCTTCGGATTCATTAATTTTTTCAATTTCATTTTCACTACTCCCTGATTCAGAAAGAGGATCCGGAGAAAGTCTTGAATATAATGGATCAGGAGTAAGGCCTCTCGATTTTAACCATTCTTTAGGACGATAATGTACAGTAAGAACGGCCGATGGTTTATCAGCACTTTTCCATCCATAATAAGCTCCAATTCCTACTATACTATTATGATCTGCCCTTTTTATTGCCAGTTTCCCTTCTTCGGACAATGGGGACTCTTCAAATTGAGTATCATAAAGTAAGCTACTGGAATCATTAAAATCATTTATAGAAGGCTTTTCGTTCTCCTTTAGAGTCCATTCTGCTTCAAAAAATTCTACGGATATACTTCCAAATCCATGACTTTTATTTTCTTTTAAATTAACATTTGAATCATCATCCGCCCACAATGATGGAGCAAATAAAAAATTATATTTATTCTTATCACTTTCATTGATAAAATAATCGATTATAGTTGAATGCGTGTCTGTTAATGTATAAGATACATGATCCCATGTACCATCAATATATACATGTGCTCGATAAGTCTTCCATTTCGCTGAATCTGCCCATAATTTAACGGTAAATTCCATTCCTGGTTTTGGTACTGCCACGAACACTGTTTTGTCACTAAAGAAAGGGTAGCATGAAGGTATGTTTTAGTAATTGAAAGATTTAATTCCTGTAAAAAAATGACCAAACTTAAAATATATCAAATCATTATATAAACCTTTCGTAACATTTGTTTGTTTTAATATCGTGTATAAGACTTGATTTCGTTGTAATTTGCTAAAGTTTATTCAACAAGAATAATATCTTTGATTTACATATGAAATATAAAATAAATTGTAAACTCTTATACAGAACTACCTCTTTACTAGTTTCATATGGTTCGCTATATTCTCGAAGAGGAATATTATTATTCACTAAGATTTCAATGCCGTAACCTTCTAAAATCATAGTTTTTTTTTTCTTCAGTTTTTATTGTTTTGGAATTTAGATACAAGTAAAATGCTATAATGTAAATTCTAAAAAAAAACTTGTTTCTGTTACACGATATCAACCATATTACTATATTAAGATTCTACGATTGTGTTACAAAAACTCGAATGCTAATAAAATGAAAACGAGAACAATTCTTTAATTAATAAGTAAAATACGAATTATAAATAATAATACAATATACAGTATATATATTACTTAACAATATAAACAATGATCACGGGTAATTAATTAGTAATTTCTTTAGTACAAAATTCTAATGAAATTTCTTTTTCTAATAAATTTCTTAATTCAAGTAAACCAAAGAGCTATAGTCGATATTATGTTAAAAATTCCAATATTCCATAAATTCAATAATGGTTTGTTGCAAGAAGATGTTTTATCAACTACAGTAACATAAGTTACAACAGTAGCAGTAGGAGGTAGAGTAGTAACAGCAGGGCCAACATACGTAGTAGTAGTGGATAAAACAGTTACAATAGAAGGTTGAATTGGTGAATCTGATGAACCAAAAGTAGGTTCTTCGGGTGTTAGGAACGGATTATTTGAAAAAGTTGGTTGTAATAATGAAGTCGGTGAGGGTAAAGGTGTCAGTGATGGCTCAGGAAATCCTGTTGTCGAAGTTAAAAATGGTGGTGATGTTGGAAAGCCTGGATATTGACAATTTGTTAAATTAATACTACACAGTATTAATAACGATATCAAGAAAATTATTATATGCATTTTATAATTTTGAATTTTTAAATTTTTATTGATTTTTTAATATGCAAAACGAAAATTTAATGAGAATTTATGCTTTATTTACTCATTTCATTCTGGTGATATACAAATTATATTAATAAATTTGGATTTCTTTTCACAATACGATTTGATTCGATTACCTTGTTTTTTTTTTTTAGTATGAAATAATTTATTTTCAATGAAAAAAACTATAGCAGTTCATGACTTTTTTAGAAATAGAATAGTAACTGTGATACAATGATTCACATTCCGATTTTATACAGTCACGTTCAAAAAAAAAATAAAAAAATAATAGTATAAATATACTGTATCAACATTACTAGAGGAGATTCATTAAACAGAAAATAATTTATCGATGGTATCTGTTCGTATATTTTAAATTAGATATATAAGAACGTGTCTAAACGGAAGCGAATATAATTTCTTTCTTTGGTAGATATCCTTGTCGGGTTGCTGAAAGCAGGAATTACGAAGAAAAAAGAAAAAAGGCAAAATTAATACTTATACACATTGTTATTTGAAACTTATGCCCTTCACAATTGGATAATTAAATAGTAATTTTCCGTGTTTGTATTATTACCGTATGTACCGTATGACGCTACATACACTATTATAAGACCTAAGACCGGGGTTACTGTACGCAGCGCTATATGGCACTTATATTCTTCTAAATATATCTCCCCGAGGATAGACAAGTATTTATGTGTGACCATATATGATCATAATGCGTAATTGTGAAACATGAGAAACATGTTGATTTTATTTCTTTATAAGGCCGTTTATTGCGTATGCTTGCACAAAAACCAAAAAAAGGGATATTATTTAGGGGACGTTAAATGAATAATCAAAATTTTTTTCTTTTATAAAAAATCATAAAGTATTAACGCGAGTCGCAATAATAATTATTCACAATTCATTCAATTCTTAAGTAGTGGAAGCAGTGGATAGATAGCCTGGAAATAAAAGCGCATTTATGTTAAAGTAGTTTTGTGTCAACATTCATTCAAATCTTTCCAGCATCCAATTGGTAGAACGCGATCGCAGATCCATTTTTCCAATCCAATCAAAGTCGTAAGATCCACGTATGACGATTTAATAAATGCAGGCATTCATGAGCAGTAAGCTAGGGATCATATTTTTTTTAACAATTCCTCCATTCTTTTAAAAGTTTGTAAAGATAAAAAATTATGACAACTCTAAATAATAATTCAAGTTCATCTAAAAGTAAGTCTTCACAAATTGAACCAGTTGCAGTACAAGCGACATTAGAAGATGTAGCAGCTGGTATAAACAGGGTAGAAAATGTTTTATTAGATCTTACAAAACAAATAATCATACTAAATGAAAATATATCGACATTTTTAAACCAACAATTGCCACAATCTTCAAACGGTCATAAAACAAAGAATTTGGTTCATCAATTGGATGTACAACAAACTGAAATAAAACGAAGTACCAGTATAAGAACGTACCATAAAGATACATCTGATTCAATTGGAAACTTGACTTTACAAGTTGCTACTCTATCTACTAGTGTAGCTCAATTGGTTTCCCAACAGCAACAACAACAATTAAATAACGTTATCGCTTTACCCCGTCCTCCTCCAAGAATTCCAAGATGGGATCATGATCCTTATCGAAATCTAAATCATCGACCACCACCACGAATTATTTCACCCAGACGAGATAGTAATAACGTATGTTATTATGTTTATTGACTTTTATCAAAATTTCTCTTTATTTATTTTAAACCGCATTTTTTATTTTTATCTTTTTATAGTCAGTTGATAAAGGAATTGATGATGTAATTGAAAAATTTGAGAATATGCGTCTAAGACCAGAATTACTTCGTGGGATTTTGAATTATGGGTAGGATTTCAAATATAGTGATTTTTCTTTCACTATTTATAATGTATTTGAATCACATTTGTTTATTTATTTTATTTTTTTTTATTTAGTCTTGATCGTCCTTCATCGGTACAACAACGAGGAATTCCTTTACTATTAAAAGGGCAAGATGTTATTGCACAAGCTAAAGCAGGGAAAGAGAAATATGCGACATATTGTATACCAATTTTACAGAATATGGAATTACAATCAATGAGAACACAGGCATTAATTATAACATCAACCAACGAGACAGCGGGTCATATATATAGATTAATGTTAGGACTATCAACATTAATGCACCATGTAGAATGTATGCTTTGTATAAGTGGGGGTAATATTGGAGATGATGTTAAAAAAGCACAAAAAAGACCTCATATAATAATAGGAACACCGAATCGAATATGCGATTTAGTAAATTTAGACGCGATAGATTTATCATATTTGAAAATGTTTATTGTTGATGATGCAGAACATCTATTAATTCAAGGATTCAAAGAACATGCAATTGAATTAAGAAAAAATTTTCCTAAAACGACTATTATACAGACAATTATATTTTCAGGAAGCGTTAATACTGAAATAATGGATTTAACTACTTCATTACAAATGCGCGAACCTGTTAGAATACTTGTAAAAAAAAATGAACAAAATTTAAATGGAGTGCGTCATTATTATTTATATGTCGCCATGGAAAGAAGTGATTGGAAATTTGAAGCTTTAGCTGACTTATTAGAGAGTATTAAAAATCAAACAATAATAATTTATTGTAATAAAGAAAGCACCATGGATTCTATATGTTATAAATTATGTGAAAGGGATCTAAACGCTATTGCTCTGGTATGTAATTTCTTTTTTTGAGAAATCTTATGAATGAAAGATTTTATCTTTAAATTTTCCTGTGAATAATTTTTAGTATGGAGAAGTGGGAAGTTCACAAAGAGATTCAATTTTAGATAAATTTAAGTCAGGTAAGAATAATATACTAATAACAACAGAAGTATTGATAGACATCGATCTATCAGTTCAACTAGTAATCCATTTTGAATTACCCTCAAAACCCGAAGATTACGGGAAACGGTAAGTACGAAACTCCCCATTTTTTGGTTGCGTTTACTTATCTTGTTATTTTATTAATATGTTTTTTTATGTATAAATAAATAGTATTACTTTAGTATCTGCATCAGGTAGTTATCAGGGTGTTTCAATATCATTTGTAACATCAAAAGTTAAGGATATGAGTAATTTACGTGCGATTGAAAGTCTTTATAAAATTAAAATGCCTGAGATGCCGGTAAGCTCTTTTTTTTTTAAAAAAAAAGAAAAAAAATTCTTTATTAATTAAATAATTTAAAATTTCTTTTAGATTAATTTGCCTGAAATATTATAACATTGCTATATTAAAATACTTTATTAACATAAATAATATAATAATAATTTGGATGGGGTGGGGTTAATTATTGAGTATTTATAACAATTTGACATTTTACCGAAAGACTGATATATTTAAAATTTTTTCATTTTTATTTAATCAATTAAAAATTTATTTACTCAAATATTCTTGAAATAGTCCTTTTATAATAAAAATATAGTAAATACATATTTTTTTTTTCTAAAAGAACGGGAAAAATAAATTTGCAAGAGCCAAGTAAGTTTATCCTATTTAAAATTAACCTGTATCACCTTACTTTCTTGCATGTTAGTCGCACAAAGGTAAATTTGCATTTTGTAACACTGCATTATCGCGATCCACAAAGCATAGATTCGTTGTACCTTTTATGGAAGAGATACTGGAATACATTTAACATTTTAAATTTGATGTCATTTCATGGAGGAAAGGAATAATAAATTCTTAATAGGGCCAGCATTACAAACTTGACCAGAATTATGTAACTTCATGATGTGTTCTATACTAATTCAAAACATACTCACGTAAAATCTATTTCGCTAGTATAATTTAAAATCATGGATTGTAAGATAATTATAATATAATGTACCACTTAAAACTTGACAACATTTGAAATTAATGAATAAATAAAGCAGTTCCCACATAGCCTTAATTGCTAAGCCCCAACACTGCCTCAAGAAAAGTTAAGAAATTAAACAAGTATCTTCCAAGCCATGGTTTAGTGCGAAAAGCATCCCATAATTTATATTGATGTATACCATAATTAATTCAATTTTCCTCTTTTTTTGCTCTTACTCTTGCTTTTTTTTCAAGCGTAAATTATCATATGACCAAAGTTATAATTGGATCTCCGTTCCTTGAATTGTGATTCCTTTTTTCGTCTTGAATTCAAGGATAAACGAATATAATGAGTATCGTTCCCCCAGAGAAGCAGTCAATAAAGATATCTCTGATAGGGATTGTAACTCAGTTTGGGATAAATCTTACCTTAGGTTTTGGCACGCTTGTATTATTTAGTTTTTTAAGACCAAGAAATGTTATAGTATATTCCCCAAAACAATTTGCACCGGAAGATAAGCAACCACCAAAAATCGAAGAAAATAAATTATGGGGATGGGTTAAACCAGTGCTGGAAGCGAATGAAAAGTCTTTAGTGAATGAAATTGGATTAGACGCTGTCATGTTCATAAGGTTTATTAAATTATGTCAAAATATTCTCTTATGTTTATTAGTATTCGGAGCTTGTGTTATTATGCCCATTAACATTTTTGGTACTTATCGTGATAATAATTATGATATGCCAAGTAAAGATAATCCTTTACAAATTTTAAGCGTCTCTTATCTTGAACAAGTAAGTTAATATATATTAAGTACGCATTTCTTATTTTTATTTTTTTTTTAATAAATTATTATATTTTTAGACGAATTGGTTTTGGGCACATTCAGTATTTACGTGGTTATTTTCTTTAATTATATATTGGTTTATTTTTTTAGAATATAAAAATTATAACAGGCTAAGAATTGAATATTTTAAATCGGATGAATATCGTAAATCTTTACATTCAAAAACATTATTAATTACTGGATTGCCAAATTCCAAGCAATCAGATAAAGGATTAGTAGATTTTATGGAATCAATAAAAGTTAGACGCCCAATTTCTGAAGCAGTTATAGCAAGAGATATCGGAAAGTTACCCGATTTTGTGGTAGAAAGAGAAGCGGCTGTACGCGGCTTGGAGAGCGCTTTTGTCAAATATTTAAAAGGTAATTTATCTAAAAAAAATATAAATATATACTTTCTTAATTAAACCATTCTAATTTGTTTTCTATCTATATATAGGACATAATAAGGTGGCAGATAAAAGACCAGAACATCGAATGCATTTATTCTTTGGAGCTAAAGTTGATAGTATAACCTTTTATACTAATAGAATTGAAACGACCGAAGCAAGAATTTCTGAATTAAGAAAAGATCCAACTGAAAGAAAAGCTTTAAATTATGGATTTGTTTCTTTTGAAAGTATTTATCATGCACATTCTGTGGCAAGACAATTAGATAGCGTTCCATCTGTTGGTATAAGGCATGAATCACTTGGTGCTCCAGCTGTACATCTTGCACCAATACCTAAAGATATTATTTGGGGAAATCTTTCAGTGCCTGCCGCAGTCAGAAAAACACAAAGGTGGATCGGACGTTTCTTTTTTGTTGCACTTTGTTTTCTATGGTTAATTCCATTGGGTTTTATCACAACGGCAGGACAAATTAGGAATATTGTGAAAATATTTCCTTTTCTAAAAGATTTATTATATGAACATGATTTTATAGCAGGATTAATAGAATCGTGGATGACACCAATGGTTTTAGCGTTATTCGTCATAATATTACCAATAATTTTAAGATATTTAACAAAAGCACAAGGAATAATAACATACTCAGAAACAGAAAGATCAGTTTTAGGAAAATTATATTTATTTTTCTTTATTAATAATTTAATTTTATATACAATATCATCAACAGTATGGGATATAGTGGCTAAAGTTAAAGCATCAATAGACGCAGGTTACTTAGATTTAGACGATTTAAAAAAAAACATAACCAATTCAAAATTTTTGGATGAAATAGCGGAATCTGCCATTAAAGTATCATTCTTTTGGATAAATTATATTTCTTTAAGCGGTTTATTTGCTGTATGGGATTTGGCTCAATTGGTTCAATTGATTTACATCTGGTTTAAAAAGAAGCTTCTTAGTCCTACTCCAAGAAATTTAAAAGAATTAAGTATGCCACCAGATTTTGATTATCCTGTATATTATAATACTCATTTGTTTTTTTTTACTTTGGGTATACTTTATAGTGTTATAGCTCCTTTAATTTTAGTATTTTGTTACCTTTATTATGTTTTAGCTTATCTCGTTTATCGTTATCAATTAATGTAAGTATTAATTACATATTTTTTTTTTACCAGGTACATTAAGGATAAATTATTAAAATATTTAATGATCTATATTTTATTAGGTATGTATCTGTCTCTTATACACATCTAGATGTGTATAAGAGACAGGGTATGTATTTAATACTAAAATTGAGACGGGAGGAGTTTATTGGAAAGCTGTGTTCAATAGGCTCATAGTTGCTATTATATTTTGGCAATTAACAATGATTGGAGTAATGAATTTAAAAGGAGCCCATATACAATCTGTTACAGTCGCGCCCTTAATATTTCTTACTTTGATGGTGAAATTGTACTGTACGAATAGATTTGACCAATCAACTAAATATTACGTGCCGGATATAGAAAGAGCAGGAAAACCAACAACAAAAGATGATATCGTGGATAAAGGAAAACGTAAAGAAGAACATGTTTTTAACGTATTTGGACATCCAGCATTAACAGCAGAATTAATTGTTCCAATGATACATGCTAATGCTAAAAATCAATTAAAAACTGTTTATAAAAATAGTAGAATTACTGAAAAGACCGAACCAGGCAAATCAAAACCAATTATATTGATCGAGGAGGGGGATCATGTTTTAAAAATTCAACCTGTTGAAAGGAGTGAATTGTATATTTTTAATAAATATGATTTTAATGTAGGTTACACTTCTGCTTTTGGAAGAGATGATGATGAATTAGAAAAAGGTGGTAGTGATGGTAAAAGTTATTTATTTGGTGAGACTGTTTCTACTACTGAAGATTGATGACAAACTAATCGCACAAATAATAATAAACATTATTAAAAAGAATTCTTTTAAAATGATAATTACTTTTTTTATTATTATTATCTTACATTTTGGGACGCTATTTACTTTATTGGTCGATATGAATTGTATAAAAAATTTAATTTTTGTAAAATTAGATCCGCTTTGCTCGAAAATGTATGCAATATTTAATATTTTACAGATGTTGATGAGCGGATGGAAAATAAATTTAAGTAAACCCATATTGAAAAGAAGTGAATCCCAGGTCCATTATTTTTTTTCTCACGATTAAATTTTAATTTTTTGATTTGTTGCATATAAATGTGTTAGCAAACACTTTATCCAAAAGAGATAAAGGTGGATTGGTATGGCATCCGATCTAAGAGCCCTTTCAATAGTGCTTTAATGAATTTATTGCTTTGGACGGCACTTCCTTGAACAAATCACTAATTAGAGAATAATTATTTCATTTTATTACCGAGAAATAAATTCCGTGTTAAGACATCCCTGCTACTTCAATAGAAGGGGAATCTCCAGGCATACGATTATCGCTGGATTTGATATAAACGATGAGGAGTTACTGGTTAAACTTTTCTCTGATGATAAGCTTAATCACGGAGATGTTCGATTTTCTTGCACAATAAAGTATTTGTTAAATAATTGAAGAGCTTGCGTAAGAAAAAATCAATGTATTTTGGCGTGTAACTAATAAATATAATTATTTCCAACTTTTCGCAATGTATCAACACCAGTATGTATTTAAGGAAAATTGTTGGTAACTTAATAATGAACTGTATTAACTATATATTGTATGTTGCGAAATAATAATAATTGGGTAGAAAAGAAATACATATAATAAGTTATAATTTTCGTAATAAAAATTAGACGAGTGCCAATTTTAGATTTATTAAAAACACTCATAACATATTTTATTATTATTATAGTGGCAACTTTTTACTGCTGTGGATCAGAATTTATCTTTAGATAAGAAGGGGAATTTTTTTCTAAATCTTTGGAATTACCTATAATATCAATTATTTACAAAATTGATCAACCTGACGCAATTTCATTTCTAATTTCTATTAAAGTTGCATTTTCTTATCCAAATCCTAATTTAAAAGTGATTTTGAAATTTTGTTATTTTTGGTTCTTTAAAATATTTATTATTGTTATTTGGCCCCTCCGGAATTCTTTTTGTAAGTTATAACCCATAATAACTTTGAGAACTTCACTTACCTAAACGGCTAATGGAAATATCATTCTACACATCCTCAAACGTCATTCAAATCTTCAATAAATTATGTTTTGTGCATAAGGTAAAATTTGTGATCAGGATCTAACTCTACAATTCAAACAAATTTATTACGGGATTACTAAATCCAGATATAATGTACACATAATATAAAAACAAAATAATCAAAAATACAATATTGACATCAATAACAAGTGGTCTAACACTAAAAAATTTCGTTAAACCCTAAATATTTAAATAGATTATTCCATATGTGTAACATCTAACATTTTCAATGAGACAAATGGGTTTAAAAATGGTTCGAACCGTTTAAGCCAATGGTTTTATCAATTCTATTGGTGTTAACACTTAATCCCATTTTCTTCACTGCCACTACCACCAACAAAATTATAATTAGGAGTATCACAATTCTCACTTAAATGCCCCGAATTACCACAATATCTACATCCAACTGTACACTCTTGACTAACATGACCCTGATCTCCGCAATTTCCGCACCTCATATGTCGAGAACCTGAAGTAGGACTTCGCCAAGGATTCAAATATTTCTTAGATCCAATCAAAGGACCTGGACCTGTTCTATTATTTGGAAAGAGATTAAATCCTGATGGTTGTGAAATCTGGCTAGTACTAGTTCCAATAGGACTCTCGGGAGATGAACTGCTTTTTGGACTTGTTGACTCGCTATTACCATTACCTGCAATATTCTGCTTCTCTAGATGAGATATTCTTAATTCTAAAGTTTGAATATATTTCTTCGCTTCTTCCAACTCTTGCTGTTTTCGTGTTTCAATTTGAAATTCACGATCCCGAGCCATCTCCACAAGATTTGCATATCTAGCTCCCATTGCTTTTACCTCTTGTTGCATTAAAATCAGTGTGTTCACTAATTGAGTTTTCTCAGCCGATAAATTCTGAATGAGCATAATCAAATCTGATCTATTCAACACATCAAGGTTTAATTTACTAGCATCATCATAGTTTCCGTCTTGCAAAGACGAGTGATCGTTTGGAGGAGACTGTGAATATGTATCTCCAGGTGAACTTAAACCTGGTGGAATCGATAATCGACGTTCGGTTGTTTCTTTAGGTTTATTATTGGAAGTCGAGTAAGAAGGCTGCGGGGAACTTGTACTTACTGTTTCCGAATTCGCGGACATGAGAATATCATTCGGACCATTTTCATTTATCATATCTTTTAAAAATTGTTGTTTTGTTTGCTTTGACGTGTCATTTGGTGCGTCTAATTTATATTCTGAGCTCATCTCTTTGTCTACCGTGTTCTTCCGCTTCTTATTTTTCTTCTTTTTTGAGCTTTCAGTAGAACCTGAAGGTTCCACTAATTCTGTGGTGCTTTGGCCTTTCTTCTTTCCAGACTCTTGCTTCATCGATTGTAGAAATGATTCTTGTTTCTTTAGAGCTAATGTCTCATCCTGTTGTCTCTGAGCTTCCTTTAAAAATAAACGCCCAATGATACCAGACAAGACATTTCGTCCATTTTCAACTCCTTCATTATAATATTTTAATATTTGTTGTCTTTGCGATTCAAGTTTTTGTGATGTTGCTTCATAATTTTTGTAATTCCTTCCTAATTGAACAGCTTCCCACATTTCTCCTTCCATCATTAAAATTTCTAAACATCTCGTACAAATGTCCGTAAGTTCGGTAACTGGAAATAAATTTCCGATCAAATTAATAGTATGTTGCCTAGATCCCTGTATTGCATTCTCGAATTTTTTGATTCGTTTACGATACTCTTTATTATTCGCCTTTTCTAATCGACCATGTAAAGTTTTTTGAGATTCATTCTTATAGGAATCTTCAAGTACCTCAAGTTCTTGGATAAGTTCGTTATTTTTTTTTGTTATTTCTGTACGTAAGATTGACACACGTTTTGATATCAATAATTTAATGTCTTTCGCCGTTCTTAACGCATCACTACATTTTGTTAAAATATTATTATGAAATTTTTGAACACGTCCATCGACTATTCTTTCTTTACTTTCTACTATTAAACTAGTTAATGATCGCTGTGTTTCCTCTCCAAATTGAACTGCATTATTAAGAATCTTCTCAGCAAATCCTTCCTCCCAAAGTGAAATCACGGTTCTAGCATTATTAATATACGTACAAAAAGCCGTATCTATATCATCAACAACATTTGCTGAATTCGTATTCCCTTTCTTTGATTTACCCGATTTTTTATAGGCTTCAGCAATTGGCGCCCAATATTCATTAAAAGGAAGACACTCATCCTGATATTCTTTCAAAAAACTTGAAAGTTTTGTTGAGCACCCTTTCCCAAAAATTAAATCTCGGCTTTCTTCCAATTGAAGCATAGAAGTTAAAAAATTATTGACGTACAACCATACCTGACCCAAACTTTCGGCTAATATTTCCTCATTTTTATGTGCCTCCTTATGTAATTTATCATTGAATACTCTTCGATCAAGATCAAGATCGGTAGGATTTTTCCAATCAGGTCTGGTATGGTCGCATTTTTGTACCTTATTGATATGTTTAAGAAGCGGAAATGAATCTTTTTGAATTACCAAATTAGACTTTTCAATCTCAATTGCATTAAGAAGATCATTTTCTTGTTTGGAATATACTACTGTTTGTTGAGGTGTATCGAATTCTACGGAGGTAAATAAATTAGGTGGTGCATATAAACTGTTAGGTAATTTAATCCATGCAAAAATTTTTTGAACAATAGAATCAACTAGATTAGTTTCCATTTCATTAGTTGACCCAACTAATTTGATTTTTTCTCCGTATTTATTAATGAAATCATAACATTGCTGACAAATTTCTGATGCAGCTTCTTTCGGTTTCTTGTTCTCTGTCTCAACGGTACTATTAATATCATTAACATTTTGACCTTGGTTTCTAACGTTATAACTCTTCTTGTAAATAAATAGTGCCCATTCTCGACAATAAAAGCATGTTCCAGCATCACATGCACGATAGCGATTAACTTCCTTAAGAACGGACGCCATGTCGACCCGTAAGTTCGACATTAATTGGGTTTCAACATTAGCATTTTTTCCACCAGGCTGTGGCTTAATGCGCAAGTTGACTAGATTGTTGTAAATAGCAATTGGGTTGAATTCGCTTTCGGTCATTTTTACTTCTAAGGTACAAAATAAAAATTTATGTTAAAAATGTAAGTGCAAAAATTGAAATAGAAAAAAAGTGTTGCAAAATTCAAAATTAAAATTATTATAATACAAGAAAGGAACTTTTTATTTTCGCGTATATCGTTTAAAAATTGTACAAGTAAACCGTATTAATTTTGAAATTTAACGTTGTTCAGGGTATTACAAACAAGATAAGTTAGTTAGTTTTGTTAACAATAATTACTTTAAGGATCGAGCCCTTTTATATCAAAAAACTATAAGCAAATATGTACAAATAAAGGCATACGGATTGTAAATCAACAAAAAAATGGGTTAACATTCGACAAACGGAAAATCTTATGACCCTAACATGACGCAAAAAAATTTATTTTAGGGGCACCTGGCCAGAGACCTGACAAATGATACGAGTACACGTGATCAAGAATTCTCTATGAATAAAAAAATCTAGATTTCTTCGTTTTTATAACGTCCTTTTCTTATCAGATATTTCTTTAAAATGTCACTTTTTCGATTCAATTTTAATTTCTGTATCTAATTCCATTTCTATTTTTGCGTCTATTTTCGTTTCATCATTGTAAACGTCAAGCTCCACAATTTTAGAAGTCGAATCGCGTAAACTTGATAAATTGAATCCATTAGATTCAAACTAAATCGTGGTTCTGTAATGAAGAACTGTAATAGGTAAAGGATTGGATTTCTAAACTTACAGTTCTTCCATCATCTATATCAAAAGCTGTTATATATCGTTTATAATTGCCGTTTTATGATCTAAAGTAAATTTTGGCGGATTGACGATTTTTTCTTCATATTTTTCCTCTTATAAAAAAAATACACTGAAATCACTCCAAAACCTCCTTTTGCATAAACCTCCTTGTATGCTATGGCCATCATATTTGATAAGGTCGAATAAATCATCTTGTTTCAGATGGTTCTTTAATTAAACCTCCTTGTTAGTGTTATTTATCGTCTATTACTATCCGTGACTAAATCTTTTATATCCATTAGTTTCGTAACGTAAATTTAAAATAACGTTTGTTATTCTGAGATGCGTTCCAGTAATAATCTTTTGTTTAATATTTTGAAGAATGAATCTTTCTATATCTGTGATCATGCGTATAATTCTACTACAAAAAAATTATTTTCAGATGTTTTTTCTAATAATCATTAAATAATTTTTTTTTATTTTGTTTTAAACGCAGATAATTTTCTCAAGACTAAATTATGCTGCTTCTATATTTAATCAAATAGAAAATTTCTGATCGAGAAACCGCTGCATATATATTAATAATAAGAGAATATACATATATTTATTCCCTTGGTCTAAAAAAAACTGAATTATTTAAGAGACTTCTTACCTTTCATATTCTTTTCCATCACGTTCTTCAATTATTATGAAGGACCTGTAGTTGTTTTCTATTATATTATAATAGAGGAATTTGACTTTTTAAAAAGATATTAAAAAAAGGAAACTTGCCATTCCTGAATTAAAGGAGGGACCGTAAATTCTTGAAACTGTTCATCAAAAATAAGAATTTCAACTAAAATCCATTTAAATATGTAATGTAAACTTATTTGGGCAAGACTATTACGTAAATAAAATAATTACAATATCCCTTTTAACGTGGGTTGAGCGAAAAAAAGTTCGCATGATAAGCGAAATTTTGTGAAACTGCAAGTTTTTATTGGAACTACGGTATATCTTTTCCAGTTTTGAACAATAATTGAACATATTGCGATCTATTATCATATGTAGTATTTAAATTCCGACAATCCTATCGCGTCACTATTTATAGTCAGATTAAGTTCTCCGTAATTTTTTTAACTTTTCTTTCCCAAACCATTTCAAAATAAATGAATAAATAAAATAAAATAAAATAAAAATGAGTGAAATCGCAAATACGTTTATATGGGAAGTTGGAAATTTTCAAAATTTAATTAAACAAATTCCTCGAGGTAAAAGTATTATTAGTCAAAGATTTTTGTTGCCACAGAGATCTTTTGATCAAGATAATCAGCAGGATCGTAATCGTCCTACTTTATGGGAATTATCCTTGCTTCCAAATGGAGTTAGCGGAACAAAAGAAGTTATCTCTTTACAAATTAATGCGATTCAAACAGAATTCGAAAAATCCAACCATATTACGAGAAGGAGAAAGGAAATCTGTTTAGGAATTGGAAAATATGAGAATTGTGAACATTGTGAATCATCATTTAAAACTTTAATCAAAAGTCATAGAATTTTTTCTAAGTTAACCGATTTCGATTTAACTAAAAATGAATGCTTGGAGTTCTCAGAATTCATTTCATTAAATTCTATCTTTCCGGAAGGTGACAAGTCGAAAGCAGTCAGCTTATTTGTCCAAATGACGTTACTTGATGATAGTGATTATGACTATTGCAATTATAGTAGGGTATATGAAGAATATTTTGAAGATGAGAGGTTTGCAGATATTGAATTCGTACTTGATTGTGGATCAAGAATTAAAGCTCATCGTATTATTTTATCAGCCAATTCAATATATTTTAAAAACATGTTACAAGGTCAATGGAAAGAAGGAAGTATGGAGGCTATACAGATTAAAGAAACCAACTACATGGCTTTTCGTGCCGTTGTTTATTACATTTATTCAGGAAAATTATATGGTATAAATGGTTTTGATATACTAAAACAAACTTTTAAACTAGCGGACATGATGATGTTAGAAAATTTGAGTAAGTTGATTATAGATGAATTATCAGATTTGATTGATGAAGAAAATTGGTATGAATTTATTTTATTGGGATGGGAATTTAATAATAGTTCTTTAAAAAGTATAGGATTGAAATATATTGCTAATAATTGGGAGAAAGTAAAAAAAAGTGAAGGGATGCTACGATTATTTGCGAGTAATAATGTTGAAGGGATTGAAGAATTATTTTACGTTATAAATAGAAATATGGAAATAGCAAAGTGGGATTATTGTTGATTGTTCATTTTGAATCTGAATCTACAAAATTTAAATAATAAAATAGAAAGATTTAAATTTTCTGAATTTTCATAAAAAAAGTTATCAAAAGTGATTTATTTTGATTTATTGATATTGGCAATTATTTAGCACGCCTATGTGATGAATTTTACGTCATATGCGACTTAAGAGTTATGACGCGTCATCTGTGTCATACAATAAATGTTCTTGGTGACTTTGGTGAACATTTTTAACTTTTCTTTCGTACAGAATAAAAAATGTATTTTCGTGGATTCTCCATTGAGATACTAGAAGATGGGAAGCAGTTAAGAGAGTATTTTCTTCAGGCAAAGAACACGAGGGTAAGTGACAGTTTATAACCAGTTTATTTTTTATATTTAAGTAAAATAAAAAGATTCAATTGTTTCTTTAAGATCATAACAGGGAAATCATATGTTGTTGACGGAGAAGCAAACGAGCGAAAATATAGGTTAGATTTAATTAATATATACATATATATATAAAAAGAAAAAAAGAATTTATTTTAATATCTTTTTTTTTTTATATTTACAGTCCAGTCACAACTTATGCTGTAGTAAAAGAGTCTGGAAAAAAATTTGAAATTAAATACTCGGCAAAGATAGCCAGTGAAGATAATCCAATAATCGCAATTATATATGTAGATGGAACGAACGATTATATACATCATGGATTAACTTCACCGTCTCCTCAGATCCTAAACTTTTTTGGGGATTTTTCGAGAAATAAAAGATATTTTTTCGAGTTTTCCGAAGTTCAATCATCTATATCCTCACCCAACTCATGCATAAGAACGAAACCATTATATGGAGGGATTGGAGCCGTTTCCATATATTTTTATGAAGGATTAAGAGTGCCAAAAAAATTGACGAGCATACCCTACTATGCTCTAAGTCAATCAAAGAACATTGAACCAAAATTTAGGTCTGAAATTAATTTTACCACAAAATTTAATGAAATGGTTGACGCGAATATTCCAGCTATTCCTAATGTTGATATGATAAAACAAAGCAACGATCCAATTGCTGTTTTACATATTCATTATCGTTCCGAATCTTGGTTAATTTCTATTGGAATGCCAATAAGAGATTATGATAATTCTTTAACTGAATGTACGCCAAATAATAATTCGTTTAAACCAATTCCAACAGTGAATGGAAATGAAATATTACAAAGTGAGCATGCTAATAATCAATCTGCTACTGATAAAATGGATATTTCATTGATTAGTGGTCGAATTCACCAATTAAATCAATCTCTAAATAATTTAATACAATCTTTTAAAAAAATGAATGACAATATGAATTCAAACAGTAATGACGCCACGTCTGTGGATGTCATAGAAATCCTAGACAAGGAGGATGATGAAGAAAAAGAAATAAATGAAAAATGTAATAAGCGTAATGGGGAAATTTCTAAAAATGATGACGAGGATAATAATAGGAATAAAAGACCCGGAGGATTAAGGGAAAACGGCTTTAAAGTAAGGGAACAACCCAAGAGGAAGAGAAAACAACATCAAAGAAAATTGAGGAAAAGAAAACGACTAGCGATAGCTAACGTTCCGGAAGAAAAAGTAATAGAGAAAGAATCGAGAACGGAAATCGTTAAAAAAGAAAGACAAGAAATTTTGGACCTTGAAAACCCAGCGACAACGAAGTCTCCGAAATACAAAGAATATATAAGGCGCGAATATCATACTTCCGATTATATAGAGTTTGATGATGAACAAGATCAAATTTTAAAACAGAAAACTTATTGTATTGAAAAAATGATAATTGATTTGGAGGATACCGAAGATGAATGATAGGATGGATATATAGGGACTTTGGATGTATATAATCTTGCATAAAAGTTGATTTAATCGTATAGTATAATGAGTTTATATACAAAGGTTTTTAATATTTGAAATATACTCATTAACTCAATTTTTTGTTTTCCATCTTTTCTTAATTAGTGCATTAATATAAAATTTAAATTGAACCATTTTGGTTATAATAATTTTAGTACTTTTTCTATATACACTATTGTCGTTAACACTACTGTACTTATATCATCTAATAATTTTCAATAACTTTCTATTTTAATCGAGAATTTCATCTGGAGAAATATTATTAGCAATTTTATGCTTATCTCGTAAAGCAGTAAAAAATAAGAAATAAAATTCGGATGTACGAGAACTAAGACCATTATCTAATAAATATCTTTTAAAAACCGGCATAAACCGAGATAATAATTTCCCCTCAATTTCATTCCAAGGCTTTCCACTTGTTAAATCTGAAATTACTGGGTCAAACCTATTTTTTTTATGGTATTTATCCAACCAATACTAATGAAATAGAAATAGAAAAAAAAAACTTAACATTTATTTTTTTTTAAAAAAAAGTCTCATGATTGAAGTCTATCTTACCTTCATTATTTCAAGTTGCTGTTCTCGAGTTTGAGAACGAGACCAACTTTTTGTGTTTTCTGGAGAATCTGGAGATGAGTCAGAAGTTTCTTGAACCTTAGTTTGATTTTCTAATCGGCGTTCATGTTGTGAAGTATTCATAATTCTTCCCTTCAACTTAGTATTACTACTATCGGTTTGAGTATTACTACTAACGATTTGAGTATTACTACTGTCGGTTTGAAGACTTGAAATCGAACGTTGTGAATTAAGATTTCGTTGTGAGTTAAAATTTCGTTGCGAATTAGGATTTCGTTGTGAATTAAGATTTCGTTGTGAGTTTAATGACGCTGGTCGTGAATCGTCTGAAGGTAGTGGAGCAACATTCGGTGTTGATACATCACGAACGGATTCTTCAGAGTTTTTTGATTTTTTATTAAAATCATTTTGATATCTCAATTCTTTTGAAGATTTACTACTACTATCGGTGATATAAAGATCACAGGATCTCTTGTTCCCAGTAATGGACTGCTGTGATAATGAATTATCTTGTGAACTGAGTTTCTTCTTTTGGGGTGTATATGATGTTTGAGGTGTATATGACTTTTTTTGAAAGTTTAAGTTATTTTCTGATTTCTTGAAAATATTTATTTTTGGTATTGTATAATACTTTTGTGCTAAATTTTTATAGAAAAATATACATAATATACTTATATTAATGATTTTGATTAAAATATATATATATATAAAAAAAAGAGATAAAATAATAAACATTATGAATACCATGAAATTTATTATTAAAATCAATTCTATCTTTTTCTTGATTATTAATCATCGCATTGCTTGGATAATTCATTATTTATAATAATTAAGAAAAAAAAAATTTAAAAAATTTTGTAAAAATGTATATTTTTTCTATTAGAAGGAAAAAAAAAAAATAAAAAAAAGAATAATTTTCAGAGAGAGTACTTCCTGGAAAAAAAAAATTTTTTTGTATCAAATTCAATTTATATAAACAAAATAACAATGATCACGTTACGCCGGCTCATATGACAACAATAGTTTTTCTAAATTTGTATAAACTAAAACAGCGCGTTGGTTTAGTTTTTACCTGTGCCACAAACGTCCGTCCGTTAATAATACAGACGGATAACGGTATTGTTTTGATTTCTAAACAGGGAGTACAAATAAATTTAACAACGAAGATAATGAAAAAAAAATTTAAATATACAAAGAAAAATCTCCCTTAAAATTTTCTCATATGAGAAAATCATAAGCTTATGACGGTTGAGTATGATAAACACCACCTCAAAGCCTTATTTTGATAAATAATTTAAATAGAATGATATATGTACCCGCTTGCCTCGCCACTTGTCCTGCTGTGCCATATCGCTTATGTAATTTACCGTTCATTCCGTTCATTCCAATGATACAAACAAAACACTAGCCCTAGGTTGGAGATTGATCGATCAAACTAAAAAACACATATCATAATGAGCTATTTCAGAGTCGATACGTCACTAAAGTTCTTTAATGAATTATTTCGTAAAATATGATAAACATGGAATGAGAAGAGTGAGACATGTAGAGTGTATCATAAATATTTTGACAAATTTATTATTTATATAAGATGTGTAAAATCTAGATAACCTCTTTTTTTCGCGTAAAATTTTTCTTGTTTGGTAACAAAATGAAATTTAAACAATATAGTCTTCAAATTCTTGTGAATGGCTTTCCTTTGGAAGAATGTTGGGAACTTTTGAATGATGATAATCATGAATATCATGAATCCTCAAGCTATGTTCGTGATGAAATAACTCAACTAAAATATGAAAGGTAACTTACTATTTATTCTTTTTTTTTTTACTTTTTTAATAAAAAAATATAAGATTATTTAATACTTTATTTTGAAATTACATATATAGTGGAACGATTCATTACGCAGCGGTTAATGTAAACCATGGAACTCGTTTTTCTGTACGTTTTTCAGCTGAAGACGCGACAAAAGATCAACCAATAAAAGCTTACCTCTCAGTTGATGGAAATTGGGATTTTACATATTATCAACTTACTGATGAAAAATTTCGTAAAGAAAATGGATTTTGGAACAAAGATAGGAACAAAAAATATTATTTTAAATTTATTCCAACAACACAGTCAGCTTCATCTCCTGATTCTAAACTCATTAATAACACCACCAATATTGACAATAAAGAACTTAATGATAATAAATTTTCTTTAAAAAAATCTGGTGGTCTCGGATGCGTTTCAGTGTATTTTTATCGTGCTAAATGGGTAAATCATTGTTGTAAAGTTCCAAATTTTAATATTAATCAAACATTGACTAATAAAGATGTAGGCTTACTTGTTGGATTTGATGAAGAATTTCATGAACAAAATTATGATATACAAACTGGTATTGTTAACTTGAAAAGAATTTCTAAAAAACCCATTGCCGAATTACATTTACACTATAGAGATATTTCTTGTCTCATAGATCGAGGATTTGATTTTCCTAATTTGTCTACTCCAAAGAATGATATTGTTCGTGATGATTACTTTGAAGATATTTTTATTAAAGAAAGGACTGAATTAATTGAATCAGTACAGTCAAATATGATCTCTTCTAACTACTACTGTCAAACTGATCTAATTGATAAGGATGAAAGCAACTTAATTGAGGAAGGAAAATTAGATAAAATGTTTTCGAATGTAGAAAAATCAAATAAGCGATCTTTTCACCTTGATGAAAAATGTCCATCCAAGAAAAGAGCAAAAGATAATTTCTACATTTTAAATACAACAGTACAAAGTGATAATATCTTGGACGACAATTTCAAGGTTGGCACCTCACAATCTGTTGTATCGCAATTTAATAATGACGTTACTGAAGCCAAGTTAACAAAGAATGCAAATACTGAAGAAAAAAATTTGGAATCGAGGATTTCAAGCATGAATACATTACAACAAATGAACAGCTTTTCCAATGTAATTATTATTGAAGACTCTGATGATAATAATATTCCATTATATATTGAGAACAATCCATTAATTGTATTGAGCGATAATGATTCTTTCAGTGAAGAGGTTAAAAGTTCCAAACCATTGCAGCAGGATCAGATGATTTATCTTAGTGAAGAAGAATTGGTTAGAAAACCACATTTACGTAAGGTTAAAAAACGAAAAAATAAAAATTTGGCGCATCATAATTTTTCTAATAGTAGCAAGTTCAAAGTGACTAAGCCTGTTTATGATGTCATTATTTTGTCTGATTAATCAAGGACAATATTTCTTCCATTTATTTTATTTTTTATTTTGTGGCTTAAAGTGGCTTTAGGAAGAGTATTGTAAGCTTTACATTTCATTTTTTGGATAAAGTCAACCACAAATAAATATGTATAAGTATATATGTATTTATTATGTACTTTTACTTTTTACTTTGACTATTTGCATAGGTATTTCAGATAATAAAAAATATTTTTAGCACAATTTACACAGCCTGTTAAGATTTGTTTTTCACTTTCTCCTTTATAGGAGATTTTTGTCAGATTATACAAAAATGATTTAAATATGGCCTATTTTAAATAAAAATACTATGCTTTGCCACAAAATCCAGGCAACGGTTCTTGATTTCTTGTGCCAAAAAGCTTAGACTTGATCGAAGGCTTATTTTTTCTCGTATTATAATTGGTTCATGGTTAATGGCAAATTAAATAAGTGAATAATATAAACTATCTTCTTTTTATATATTTTTCTATAAATTTGTTATTTATTTTCATAATAATTATTTTCATAGACTTAATAAATGGATTACATTATTCCATTTTGATAAATTAACTAACTGAAAAACGTTACACCCATATCTATTATATGAGTTATTAAATTTTATACATTATTAAATTATGATTAACAAAGTAAAATTCTCTAGATGATTAAGTATTACTAAAAATATTGGAAAAGTATGGACAGCTTCATCAAATACCAGTAATCAGTTTGTTCCTTAATACTTTACAAGATTTAATGCATCAATATAAGATATACATGCAAATTGTAACTGTGAATATTGAGATATACTTTCAAATTTACAAATTCACTTTTTTCCACAAGCAAGCATTCTCACTATAATAGTTAATAATTCTTTTAAAATTTAAACAATGATACAATTTTCTACTCCAAATCACCTATACAGCATCTACTTTCATTTCGGTATACTTAATTTCAAGGCATTAATAAACTAACTCTTGGATCAAAAACAGCCAGAATTTTCCTATCAGGAAGATTTTATTTCCCAATCTTAGCACGAGAATTTGATTGGTTTACATGCGAAGAATTTTTTAAATCTAAAAGAGATTTGATGCTAAATGCAAAGTACCAAAAAGTAAATATAAAATTATTATATTCATGGCCAGTTTTTAAAGAAAGAACTAAAAAAAGATAACAGATTTAAATCTTCTAGAATTATCAGGATAACTTTTTCAGCTATAATAATAAGAGAAAAGTATGTGAAACACCTTAATAAGATTTCATTTTTAATTTAGATACAAAATAATACTTATAAATAAGTAGAAGAAACTAAATGAAGCTTATTGAGAAAAAAAAATTATAAAGCTTATATTAGTATTTTTACGAAATATAATATCAGTTTGAGATATTATAAAAACAAGTTTTTCTAACCTGCTTAAACTCCTGACTTAAACCCGATTGAACATTTATGGGATAATGGATTGAAATACAACTCAAAAAAAAAGAGGTGGGTCACAAAAAAGAAGTTGGGATTATATTATAATAATAACAGAAAATTAAATATTTGGGAAAATGTCCTGTTGGGATATGGTCCGTAAGCAAGTTCTACAATTGGCTTAAATATGTAAAAACAAAAAAAAATTTGAAATGTTTTATGTGAACTCTCAAATACGTATAGAATTTCTATAATAGATCTCAAGATACAACATTGATATCAATATGTAACAATTTATTGTCTTTTAAAAAAAATTCTTAACATTCATAGAATAAAAGGCGCGAAATCGTTTTTAACAAATTAAAAGGACGAACGATTGGATGATCAAAAAGAGATTTTAAGCCTTCTAAGTGATAATAAATTATTGACTATTATTTTATTAACAAATAATAATGAGAAAATATACTAATATGTCAGTTGAAGGAATATTAAACCTATGCTTTTATCTGCTACTATCAATATTTAACAATCACGTATATGGTATGATTGAAGCAAAAGATCTTAGGAGCATTTTAATAAAATTAGAAAGTTTGTTTCTTAGAAGAAGACTCAGGTCTGGGATTATTTTGAAATATGTGGAGAAAAAAAGAATGGACATATGGATGTATACGCAAAGCATGTAATTGGAAGAGAGTCGTAGGAAAAACTTATGAAATGGTAGATCACCTGGCACTTTCATGTCCTAAAGTATTTATTTTCTAAAACAGGAACAGAGACATATTAAAAAATTAAATAGAAACAAACGGAGGATTATGGAGCTTCTTCTAATTCATAAAACTGTTGTACTTTTTTTTTTAACAAGTAAAAATTTTCAAATCTATAAAATTACCAGTAAAAAGAGAAAAAAGAAAACAAAAAGGGGAAGGTAATAAAGCAACATAATATTAATGATGAGGAAAATAGTAAAGAAAATAATGAAGAGAATTTTAATGAAGATTTTAATGAAGATTTTAATAAAGATTTTAATGAAAATTTCAATGAAGAGGATTAATATTAATTTATTCTTTGAAAAAAATGAGGTATTATGCAAAACAATTAAGGAGCTAAAATAGAAATTTAGAAAATTAGAAATGCAATTCTTTCATGTAATAAAATAACCTGGAATATCCAATTGAATTATACTTATGTATATTACAATTTGCATAGTAAAAAAAATTGTGAATATTATTATATATTTGGGCGTATGGACTCAAGAAAACTAAATAAATTTAAGAAGAGCGTTAGACGTTGGAGGATTTGCGAATAATGATAGAAAGGGAAGAGGAGGAGACAAAGTATAATGGTAGCCACGGATATATTTTGCAATTGCAAAGAAAATTGTAATAGTATAAATGTAATTGCAAAAAATAGGAATGGTAGGAATGGGCATGTAACTACCCAAACATTCAGACATCTCAATCAATCAACAAACATTCTGGTAAATGATGGCCTTCCTACTGGTGTTCCCACCTAATTTGGCCACTTCTATATCTTTGATTTATAAACAAAAAAAATCTCTGTCAAATTGGAAATAGCGAAGAAGGTAGTAGCAAACAAATCGATGTATTTTTCAATGCAACCAGCGGATTTAATAATATAATTTGTTAAATTAATAAGCATATAATCACATTTTTTGTTTTTTTTGAATTAAATTTATATGGTTAATGGCAATTAAATAGTAGCCATAGTACCATTTCAGATAGAAACAGCGATCTTGCAATTATGCCTAACCACGGAATAATAATAAAGTTATATTATAATATATTAATAGGATAATTATACGAAGAGCTGAAGTGTCTGTTTTTCGGAGTCGGAATCCACGTTCTGTTTTATAGCAACTCATTCATAAATTATTCGGTCTCGTAAAAGAGGCCGAAAAATTGGTCCAAGAGAGTTTACTGATTACCGGTGCGGTTTATAAGATTATTCTACCATATAATCAGAAATCGATAACTCTCAATTATAATTTTTTCATTCATGACCTTGATATTTAATCATATGATTAGATAGAAAAACCAGATGGCAAATATTGTGCTATAGGAGAACAGGGTATATATACGATTTTAAAAAAATTTATCGCATATAAATCATACCCAGATATCGTGTTAGTAGAAAATTTCCTCCTTGAACATGTAGAAAAATCACGGGGTATCAGTATTTAGCAATTTAAAAAAACACAGTAAAATATAGCTTACTTGATAACTTAAAAATCAAAGAGCATGCCGGGTTATAAATAACCTAACCTCGCTTAAAAAAATACAGACAATTATAATCTAATTTTGGGACAATTATAGTCTTCTCAGACGTTTAGTCTATAACGAAATATGAAAAGATAGGCCCGAGAGGACTACTTATGCGCTCACTAGTTCTTAGGGTATCTGATCAGATATTTATCTTTGACATTTAATAAATTTGTTAACGCAAAGCTATTTATTGACTTATCGCAAAAAATTTCATATCGATCATATTGATTATTTCCACATGAGAAGTAATTTCGACTTTAGGCTGTGATCACGTTCAGATTTGTAGTCTGTGAATATGTAAGTTTATGTGCGATCCATACTTCCATAAGGTACCATCCTTGTGTCGGTAATAATTTGAACACCTTAAACTCGTGTATCATCATATAAAATTATAATTTAACACGCTACAGGAATATGTAGTAATTTTCGCGTATCTTATTAATAACATTAGTTCATGTAATAGCTATATACTCTATATACTGTAAATAATAGGAATTTAAGATACTACCATATTGAATGAAATATCATCTTGTGTATTTCTTATCTAAAACAAATTAAAAGTTTAACAGTATTAGGCGATACAAAATAAATAATATCCTGGTTAACGAAATAATTTTAGATTGACCAATAAAAATATTCTACATTTAACATCACATGACTGATATAAAAATTGAAGTAGCAGCACTATATTGATTCAAGTAACCAATTGATCCTACTAAAACGATCAGGTATGATGATTTTTTCCAAAAGTTTTCGTTAATGATTCATGGACTTTCACATCTCAAATTGTAATACCATATTATTATTCAGCTGTGCAAAAAATCTAAATTTTATTTTGAATTTGTCAATTTTATTTATGTGGTTTAATAAAATATATATGATGAATTTTAGTACAAAAAAAATTTGTCCAATAAAAATACGTAAAGTTTTTTTTTTTTTTAAAAAAAAAGTCATATAATCTAATCTCAGATATGAAACCCAATTTTTTTTTTTATTTTGTATCGCTTTATTCGGATTTAAACGAATATTTCATCGTATGTATTTATGATAACTCGAACTTCTAATGATTTGAAGGTTTATAAAGAAATTAGTTCTTATTGAATAAAATAAATGATTGTATTTTCATTTATTTAAATATTAACCGGTAGAACTCTTCATAATAGATTTATAGATTTTTTTTGAAGTTTATTACATTTTTTTAATAAATAAATAAATATATTATATTGATAGATAGAATAGATAAATAACAAATGAATAATATACAAAAAAAATACATGATACATAATTCAAATGTATTACGTATACTAATAGTTTATTCAGTACTATTACTCGTAAATTTTGGTAATTTCGACGCGATAAGATAAACTTTATCAGAGATTTTAACAATTGTATCCCAATCTGGATTTACGTAAATATAGTTATGTGGACCACTTCTGTGTGTTACGCAACGATAAAGCCCCAACGGAACAGCTTGATGTTCTTTAATTAAATAACTGTATAAGTCATTATATGTATTGCCTAAAATGAAAAAAAAATTTGTTTATATGTAAGAATCATGTCATGTTTGATAAATAAATAAATAAATAAAAAAGACTCAGATTTATCTAAAAATTACCAATATAATGTGATGGCACATCAACACAGAATAGATGACCTGAATCAACTCTTAAATCTTCCCACTCATGATTTAGTTGCCGTTCAATTTTTGGTGATATCATCTTATCATCTATATCATGACTGAAAACAAGACATTTCATTATAAGAGGGATGTGCCGATTGTAAAAACTATGATAAAAGTTTAAATAATCGATGTCTAGTTAAAAAAATGTGAAAATTAAATTGATTCGACAAAAAAAATATTTTTTTACCATTGACAGAGCATTGTATCTAAATTACTTGGCGTGAATACATTTCCAGCCATAAATGAAGGTCTCATAAGTGCTTGAACTAAATTTTATAATTAATTAGATTATTCTCTAAATTTATAAGTGTGTATAAAAGTCTGAAATTACTTACTATAGTCTTCTTCGTTATTCTTAACGGAATCACTTTCACCGATCATTTTAAAGGTCTCACGATATATACATTCGACAAGAACATAACAATCATTAGTTAAAGATTCAATGTTTAGTGCAACCATGAGTGATGCGGCATCCGCATTTGTGTATAACCTTCAAATATTTTAGATCAAAAAATAAATAATTAATAAATAATTCATAATGTTTTTTTTGTATCGGTTTGAGTTATAATAAAATCTTTTTTAACCTACTTTTCACTATTCGATGAATCACTTAAGACGACACATTTTTTCGCATAGTTAACCCTAACTCGAACTAGATCTCTTCTGCGAAGTGGTGATCCTTTGATAATATATACTTGCCCAAATTCTTTTAAAACACGTTTTTGTGTGTCACTTGGTTTGCCATTACTTAAAATAATCACCGGCATATCACGACATGTTGAATTTTTTTCTCGTAATACAGAAATAAAAATATCTAAATTCTCTGGAAAATCCTTGCTTTGATCACAAATAATAATATGATCTGTAATATCTTTAATTTCATGATCTTCTGATTCAATAATATTTGCGGCTGCTTTTTTTAAATTTTTACGTAAAATTTCTTCGTCTGACTTTACATTACATAACGGAATAAGTGGGATATCAGGATCTTCCAAATCACTTAAATCATCCTCATCATCAGCATCGATCTTAACTTGTGTGAAGGGACGTAAAGGTGCAGTACTTTTTAACTTTGATGATTTGGAGTTACGATTGCCTCTATTAAATAAGTTATGCGCAGATTTTGCTATGTAAGTTACATCGTACCAACGTCTCGAGTTTTCATTAAAAGTTGCCATTTTAGCTGTTACTTCGGCATTATCACAAATCACGAATCCAATTTCATTCCCCTTAATCTTATAATTCCGTGGATTCAAAAATATTTGAAATGGTGATGTATCACTTCCAAGTTGAGAATTTGGAAAACAACCTTTTGTGAATCTATAAATCCCAATAGAAAATAATACGGCTCCCAAACGCGAATAAATGAGTTCAGAACATTCCAAAAATGTTTTTCCAATAAAAGCATCAGAAAAGGTGACAGCATAAATTTCATGTTTTATACCGCGGACATATTCTATTGCCCAATTTAATTCTTCAAAAAAATTACATTTAAAAAATAATTAATAACTTTTCATTTTATAAATAATTAAAACCTCGCGTTAAAAAAAAAAAAAAGGCATATGATACCAGGTTTCTTCTTTGCACTTCTAATCAAATTACGAACAGTATCGTCAGTAACTGATGTCGTAAGTAATACAACCAATGATGCAAATCCCGGTATGACCAAACTTTGAGCCATTAAACCCATTGTAATTTCGTCGATACAAATAACATCCTTCGCTATTTATTTATTATAAAAAAAAAAATAGAGTTTAGAATATGTATAATAAATATAACAAGTTTAATATGAGAAATATTTCAAAAGTAGTCACCCAAGAAATCAAAATGTGGAACATTTTCGGGCAAATTAACTTGAGAGTATATGTGCAGCTTTCGATTGTATTTTTTAATAGCCTGATTTTTTTTTTAAATAAAATTATTTAAGAGACAAAAAATTCAAACATCGAAAATAATATTCACATACCAAGGCTCTCATTATTTGATTAGCATCATCTTCGTCACCGTTTTTAGAAAACTTTTTAGTTAAAAGAAAAGCTGCACTTGCAGTATCTGCTCGAATTTTTTCAAGACTACGGCGCCAAGTAGGCGTTCTTAATATATGTGTAAAAAACTATTTTAAATATATTATAGAAGAGGGACGCATAGAACATTTGTAAATTTAAAATTTTATTTACCCTTTAATATATTGTACTCTAGTTACAAATGCCGGGTCTTCAAGAAACTCTACGATCTCTTCGTCAGGCTTTTTTTTTTAAAAAAAAAATACATAAATATAAAAGATGGTTTAATATTTTTCATATTTCAAAAATATAAAAAACAAACCTCGTCCGGGTGCATTATCACCACATATGTATTCATAGTTGCCAAACCATGGTCTAGACAAAAGAATTCTCGCAAGAATTCAAACAAACTTGTTGAATCAAAATCTCCAGTAACAATAATATGTTCTTTATATATTTCGCCTTTATATGAATGATTATACTTAGATCTTTCTTGTATCAAAGTTAGAAGTTCAGATAATGCTGTTGGGATGTATAAAGCTCCTGCAAGCATAACATATAAAATAACGGCACGAGTGAAAGCACTATCCGGGATCAAATCTGTTGACATTCCATTTGTACTAAGTTTGTAAAAAAAAAAAATTATAAAACATTATAAATTATTAAATTATATAATAAAGGTAAATATAGCTCACCTGCTTACTGTTAAGAGGAGAAGAATAATTAAACAAAATTTATCAATAATAGTAATAATAGTAATAATAAATTTAACATGTAATTTCATAATATATACATACAAACAGTAAAAAAAAATGCGTCGCTAAAAGAAATATTCTCATCAACTTTATTTTCCGATTGTTTGAAAGTAACCAAGTGAATGAAAGCAGTAACCGTGAGAAAAGTAAATAAAATCGCTGTAACTATTAAGATTTTCGAAAATAAATTAGCTTTGAAACAAGCTTAACGAAAATTATTAAAAAAAGTTCATAATAAAATTTTACCAAGTCTTATTCCTTTCCTCATAACCTTTGATAATTTAAAAAGAGAACTCTTTACAGGTGCGAAGACAATTTGTACCGCCCAATGAAGTCTTGCGAACCGAATGGGATATATATAAACCTTGAATAATTAAAAGGTTGGACATGTTCCTTGTTGGTGACGAAAGAAGCTTTAATAAAATATTTAATATTTATATACCAAAATTCCAGCACCCATATAAGTGTTATCCATAACATCATCAAAAATAGTTAGGATATATGCTGCTATGACCGGAAACACCGAAATCCATGTTAAAATTGAAAAAATGTTAAACGTATATTGAAAAGGCTCTTTATCCAACCATATGTGCGGTATATATTGAATTAAAATAAAAGTAGCAAGAATAAAGTCTGCCGTCTGAAGGATGAATGGAAATGCTTCTTCGCTGCTATCAAGCTTGACATATCTCGTATTCTAAATTTTTTTTTTTTAGAAAAAAGTCAAAATTCATCTTTACTGCGCCACAAACTTATCGAAATCTGGAAACACTAACCCAGATATATAAAAAAACAAACATTGCGGATAGAATTGCATCAAAAAGTTCCCAAATTCTTCCGATTCTTGAAGTATCACATTGAAACGCCAATCTTTTTCTAATGCTAGCTCTTTTACCAGACTTATATATGAATTCTCTTTGGTTTTTCACCCAAGCTTCATCTCTTTCATTGGCAATTACAGAACTAGAAGGTGATTGATAAGATCGTTGGCTATCAACAAATAGATAATCCTTCGATTTCATATTTGATCCTTCGCTATCATTTGAGGAACTTTTCGCACTTGAGCCGGTTTGCTCATTTTGTAGTAATGGAGTGTTCTCACTCATATTTTCTTTCGATTTATATTACAATTCGAAATTTCGTTTAAAGATTTAACAAAAATGATGGATAAAAAAATTATTCGGTTTTTATTTAATTTTTTTTTTACGAAATTGTCATACGTTTGACGATCCATCAATCCCAAAGAACAAATGATTTGGTCGGCTGGGTTAATTTGTGTTCTTGATTGGTAGATCTATTAGTCTTTTAAAATCTTTGATATTATTTTGTAACCAAAGTTCCCGAAAAAGAAGGAATCTATTAAAAATTATATATAAGGTAAATCATAATAAGATTAGCATCATTTTCTACGTAGAACTTCTTATACTAAAACAAACGAATTTTTAACAATCGCTGATGCAACAGAAAATGACGCAATCATGCAGTAAATCTGAAAATCCCCTGGGAAGATTCTTCAATTGAAGTCATATGATCGACAGTTTCACCACAAATAGGAAAATTTTTATTAATAAAAATAATATTTACGATATAAAATGACAATTTTACTAATATTAGAATATGGCGGCTACATTGTAGATATGAACTAATTTCCGCCCAAATAAATAAAGTTGAAAATGAAATTATATATTGTCCCTATTTAAAAGTATTTATATTTAAAATGTTTAAAAATATGCTTTAATTTAAAACTTAAATATATTTAAAATTATATTACATTTTTTTAAAATGTTTAATACTTAAATATACTTAAAATTATATTACATTTCTTTAATTGTTTTGTTCGTATGCTACAAGTTTCTTCCAAATGAGAAAGCAATTAACTTTTACAAAGCGAATTTTGAACCGGCCACATTGCGTGAATTGATCTAATAAATTTATTAACATGAAAATTAGGTGTATTTTCTTTTAGATATAGACTATATATTTAGCTTTTTCCGAAAAAATTTATTAATTATTTCCAATTTGAAAATACTTTTATTGGCAAATAATCCCAGACCATTTTTTGGGGAAGGGGTCAGAAATTGTGTTTAGGATTATCGATCAGTCTATAAATAGTAATTGCATACTAGATCACAAGGGAGACAAACGCCAAATTTCATGGCGAGTCAGTGAGCACCTGTAAATTATCTTAACCTGCCATTTTATGTTATAGCGTAATACAAAGTATCAATGATAAATCATCTGATTATAAAAAAAAAGAAAAAAAATAAATTGGGCCGAATAGTTAAAATTTTGGTAATTAGGTAATTTAGTGATTATGATCAATATATGAATATAATAACTAAACATATTTTCCATTGAAAACATAATTTATTTAATGAGCAATTCAACTCGATAAACAACAACTTATTACAAATAAAATTATTGTAATTTACAACCATCTACTGGAACTACTGGAACGGTCCCCCGGTTTATAATGTCTGTATTACGCGCATTGTAATCATCATCATAATTCTTGTTTAAACCTGTCATGTAATAAAGAAAATGTCAATGCGCCATTGATAATTATGATATTGGTTTATAATTTATATATCACTTACTATCCAACGAAAATTTATAAGTTTGAGTAATATATCTAGGATCTAAGGTCAAAAATGATATATTTAAATATATAACTTTTTTTTAAAAAAATAAATATATTAAAATATACTGTATACTGTACCTTCATTTTCTTTAAATTTTCTACATTCAACCACTTTAATGTAAAATATTTTTTAGAAATTATTACATATTATTAAGAGCTGTTACAATGTAAATAAACTTACGTGCTTTAAAATATAATATAAGAAATATATTTCAAAGTAAGTATTATTAACAAATGATATAGTTATTAAATAGTTTATAGTGTAAAATAAACTTACGTCGTCGTGCTATAAATTATAATATAAAAATAGATTCCATGGTTAGTTAATTATTAGTAAATAAATATAGTTATTAAACAATTAAGTTGCTTACGTGGTCGTTCTTTAAAATATAATTTAGGGAAGTTTTGATGTTAATAGATGAGATAATTATTAAATAATTAAGGTATAATGTAAATAAACTTACTTCTTTCAAACTTACTATTACGCGGTTCGAATTTTTCAGTGCTACAGCCTAATAAATTAAAAATAGTTAACCATTAGTAATAATTGTTATAATATACAATTTGTATACTAACGACAATATTCTTCTCGTTCTTCTCGTAGAGTATAATCATATGCCACGGTCATATATTCTAAAAAAAAAAAAAAAAAATTCAATAGATATTAGACATTTAAATGTCTATACTTAATAATATATACCTTGAGTACTTCCACTTATTACAGAATTAGAGTTAGAGTGATGAGGTGAAACCAGGTTATAATCTAATAAAAATCAAGTATTATTAGCATATTAAATATATTAACGGTTTGTATATGGTTTAACTTGATGAACCTTTATTATTATCAACTATTTTACATGATTCCATCATTTCTTCAAATAATTTTGGTAAAAGAGAAGCATCAGGCCTTCCTGATGGTTCGGGATTCCAACATCGTTCCATAATATTAACATAAAAATCTGGCGTTCCTTTAACAATATCAGGTCTTAGCCCATCAAGAACTGAAAGCGCAAGTTCTGCATTATGATGATAATTTGAAAATGGGGGTTTCTTGGATGTCAATTCCCACATTATCATACTTATACTATACACTTCTGATTGTTTTGTATATGGTTTACATCTTAGAACTTCAGGAGCTATGTAGGGCAAAACTCCTTGAATTTTATCTGAAACTTTTAATAGTAAAAATTAAAAATTTTAATATGAAAACACTATATTTTATTAAATTACATTATTTTTTATTGTACCTGTTTCTGAGTCAATGGGCTGACAAAGTCCAAAATCACTTATAAAAACTTTATCATCTTTATCTACCAAGATATTTTTACAATGGAAATCCTTGTGAACTAAATTTTTTTGATGAATTGAATTTAAAGCTTTTGAAATTTCAATTAGAATCTTTGCTCTATTGGTCCAAGTTAATTTTGAAAAAAATTTACGAATATAATTTCGTAAATCTCCATGTTCCGCATGTTTTACTACCATAGCATAATCATTTCCTTCTGGTGATTTTGTTATTCCATAAAATGGTATGACTCTTGGATTACGACATTTATGATGAATTTTAAACTAAATAATTTAAAAAAATTAAAAAATTAATTTCGAAAATTTAGCTGTTAGTATGAATTTTTTTTGTTACCTCATTTAGAATAAGATCATTGACACTATTAGAGTCTCTAATTGCTTTTAAAGCAATATTACTAGACGAAGCCAAAGCAATATTACGAGGTGAAACCGAAGCAATATTACTAGATGAAGTCAAAGACATGTTTAATGATAAATTCCATGTTCCAAAAAATACTTTTGAATTTCCTCCATCTGCTAAATATTTTATGTTTTCTAGAATTGAACGTGGTATCCATTCAATAAAATCATCACAATATTTTGATTTCTTTTGTGTTTCTTTAATAAATTTATCCAATTTATTATTTCCACTTGATTGTGAAGTAGAAAGAAATTGATTCCTACAAAATTGACCCGAATAATTTATTATTTTCCGGTTACATTGCGTACAAGTAATATAATTTGAGGTTCCCATTTTTTGATAAAGATACAGGTAGTATTTAGTATTCGTTTGACTTACTTATATACAGATCTCATAATTTAATTTAACGATGTAATTAGGATTTTGTTCAATCGAAATATATCCCATTTTTGCTAAATTTGATTAAATGATAATAATAAAATTTCTCTTATAACATTTTAAGGTAATTGATTACCTAGAAGATACTTTATAATTGTATGTGAAACAATTAAAACGGAAGTTAGTGAGAAATATTTATGATTTAAATTAGGTGAAGCAGAAAAGTTTAGTACAGTATAATTAGATTATTATGAATGACAATTAAAAATAATCGAACATACGAATTTATTTGTTTATGAATCTATAAAGGAAATAATTTACCGAATAATTAAAACGCAGCATGCTGATCATTTTGAAGCTAACGTAAATTGATGTTTTATATCCATAAGGCGGCTGATTTTACATATAATAATAATCAAAAAGTAGAATTTATGGGAAAAAATGGGCATAAAAAATTTTGGAAATAAAAACCTATTTACAAATGAGGTTTAACATACCACAAACTTTTTAAGAATGTTTCTTTCTTTTACGCTTGGTTATGGTAATTTTAGATGAACAACGTTAGACATTTTATTAATATATCCGAAAACTTACACTATTATTTTTCTTTTTTTTTGTATGATATTACGTATACTATTTATTATTGGATATTGAAAACCCCCTCTTGCATCGGAATAATAAAATCCTATTGTATAATTCTCGTATAAAATTTTGATAAAAGCATAAAGGTCTGACAAAAGTAATTGTTTCCTTTTTTTCTCTCTTACATTATTTTATCAACGTAAATATCATAAAAATGAAAATGACCAAGACGACCAAAATCAGCCCATCTTGAGACACAATACTCCCAGATGTTATGGGTCGATTATTACTTTCTATAATGTCGATGATATATCATGATAGCTCATAACCTGATATCCCATCATTTGACCTGTGATAGTCAGCTTCGTGATGAGCATGTCTATTTGCAAGGTCGAATGAGCGAAGTATCTGGATCAAATATAAAGGAGAACCAGTAGAAATCCATTTTCAAGGAGGAAACGTTAATACATTAAAGACAAATATTAAATGCCAACCTACCAAATAAATTAGCAACTTGTCATCAATAATACATTATGAGCACATGGAAAAAAAGAAAGTTTATGTGTGGATAACATAATTGATGAAAAATTTGTAACGAGATATGACAAACCTCTTTATGTCGAGGTCGTTGATATTGGTAAGCTTTAAGTCATAATAACTAAACGTGATGCCCGCACTTTTTATACCACTGTTACGTTGGGATTTTATGTCTACCAGATGATGTGTCTTTTCTAGGAAACAAATGATTATAGAAAAAATAAGCAATTTAACTGTAAATTAATCGAGGAGAACGAGGATTTCCTAATTCGTAAATGTTATGGAGAACTCATAAGATAGATTGATCAATGCTTATGAGCTTTACCATGATTTTCTTCAAATCAATTTAGTGAGCCAAATGCTTCTGAACTTTGAGGTAACCTCTTTGCAAAAGAATGGTGCGTTTAGAATTCATGAAAAAGGAGTGACATCAACAAAAATAGTGGATAAAAAATAGATAATCTATATTACAGTTGTTTGATACGCTAAATGATGTACAGACAAATTCTTATATAATATACCTCAATCAAGAATATTTTGAAACAACCGATTCTTACTCTTTGGATTTATTTCAAGTTGCTGTATCAAAGATACACGATGATAATAGATTTCACTCGCGAGACCAATCCAGATAACCTGGAAGGTTCAAGAAGAATTGTAATTAAAGATTTGTGGTGGCGTTCCTCAACTGTATGTTAATTTGTTTTGTACATTAATAACAATCTGCATTTACTAATTAGTATAAAGGTAAGACAAAAAAAGCATAAATAGTATATATTTTATTAGTTATTTTTTAATGTGATGCTAACTTGCAGTTTTGTAGGTGGTTTGGAATCAAAAATTACGTGTGGAACGGTGATATCAAACTATATTTTGTGGTTCCCATCTGACAAATTTGATGATTATCCTTGGCAAAGTTATAGGAGTCCCAACGCACGAGATTTTTTTATGATTCCACTAGTAGTGTCACTTATTTCAGGCGAAACCCACAAAAGGAAATTATAGCTGGGTGCAGTAAAGTCTCATTCTGGACAAGTGTGGCAGGGAAATCAATAGTAATTTCGGAACTACCTACACTGCAGTGCAGTGTAAGGAGAAGTTCCAAAATTAGTGAGAGAAAAAAAAGTAAGAAAATTACAGAATAATATGATTTAATTATTCTTTAGGAATATAACAAATAATCTAAAGCAATATGTACTAAATATCAATTTCTACAAATAGAATGTAATGTGAAATAAGAGAATTATTATGTATTATGGCAAATCTGCTTTTGCGTGGTTTGGAGAGATATCAAATAATGAACAAAGTTGCTTACGTTAAAATTGTATCTACTATTAATAAAGTTTAACTTTATTTTTTAACTTGTGTATGTGGTGTACTGTTGGGATGTGTAACTGTGCATTGGAAATATTATTATGAGCGCTAGCGAAATGTACACTATTGGTGCCGATCCAAATTTTTTATCGGATAACAAAGTTTTTATCCCTCCCTATTTGAATAACTACATTTCGGCAAAATTTCTTGGCACACTCATCCTCGGTACGTAAATCACAGATCTTGCCATTTCTTTATTAGATAAATACAAATTATCATACATTACAACTTACAAGAAATACTTCTATATTCGCCGTATTCACCGTAAATTCGTATGCTCTATTAGTTTCAATTAAAATATAATTATTAAATAATATAATTATATTTACCATATTTACCATAAATTTTAATTACATCATGTTAAATTATTAATTTAAGGGAGATAGCAGCAGAAATTAGAGATAGGTTTATATAACAATACATTCCAAAATTGTTTTCATTATAGAATAATGACAAAATACAAAAATTTTAAATAAAAAATTTCTTTTTAATAAATTTATCATGAGTCTACTGTTTGGTCCTATTAAGAATGGTGTAACGACGAAGATATCATAAAATTCCCAAAGTCGGGAAGGATTCATTTTGTGCAGAAGTGACAAAGAAGATTAATTGAAATTATCATTCGAATTTCACCGATGAGGAGTGCAACAAAAAATTTCTAAACCTAACTCGTGCATACTATGTAAGTAGAAGATCGATTATTTGTCCGCCTATGTACTCACACCTCTACCATATAATATAGTGGGACTATTTTTCAGGTGATTAAAAATATTAAAAAAAGAAAAATTTGCAGAAACTCGTGACTTCTTTCTATAAATAACCCTGATAGACCAGCTTTAAGAATGCTTTTAAAATAAAGTGGAAAAAAATAAAGAATTATTTACCTGTTTCTAAGTCAACAGCATTTATTTGTGTTTTTTAATTTTTTTGCAATATCTCATTTAGAAATGATTATTAATATTATCAGAATCTCTAATTGCTATTCAAGCAGTATTAATAGATGACGCCAAATACATGTTTAATTGCAAATTTCATGTTCCAAAAAAAAAACTTTTGGGTTTCCTCCATCTTCTAAATATTTTGTTTTCTAGATTTGACATCACAATATTTTGAATTTAATTGTGTTTCTTTAATAAATTCATTCAATTTAAAATTTCCACTTGATTGTGAAGGAGAAAGAAATTGATTTCTACAAAATTGAGTCGAATAATTTATTATTTTCAGATCACATTGCGTACAAGTAATATAATTTATCTTCTAATATATTTAATATATTCATTTAATATATTCATTTTTATTTACTTTCTAATAAAATGCAAAATATAATTCTTTAGCATTATTATATTCATTATTATTAAGATTAAAATAGAAAAAAGACGATTGTATTGTAGTGCAATTTATTAAAATTTAACAATGTGATTAGGAAATTAACAATAGATTAAATTTGATATCTTTGCTTGTGTTTATAAAACAGGTTAAAATATTTAATGTTCATATTTAATACTTCTAGCAAATTAACATTTTTAAAATACGGTGCTGAAAATTATGGTATTTTCTTATATAAAGTACTGCGGGAAAAAATACAATACGTAATATATATATTATACAAGACAAAATAGTTTTTGAAAGATAAAATATTAATTTATTTAAATGAGAGACATGATAATTTTCAAATAATATTAATAAATTAAATAGAAAAATTATTAAAATGAAAATTATTGTTTAAGCGAATTATGGCGCTGAAGAAGATATATCGATATTTTGTTCTACATCTACTAAAAGTATTAGTTATAAAATCAATATCAATGTTTTTTAAAAATTACAATGATATAAATTTACCTTTTTCCTTTACGTCATCTTGCTTATTGTTATCATTATTATTATTTGGCTTATTATTTTCACCTTTGAAACAAACAAAACCGTTAAATTTGGTGATTATTATGTATTACAGAAGAATAAGTTACGCGAATTTACCTTGGGAGCGTACGATGGATTTTTTCTGATATCGAGAAAGTAGAGTATCAAATAGTTGCGATCTACCCGTTACACTTCGTTTCAAGGTCAACGAATGACTCTTGCAAGTTAATGAACGTGTGCAAGGTTTATTATTATGTGAATTAATTACCCCACATTGTTTATCCAAATCAATTTCTAAATTGAAAAAAAAATATTAGGTTAAAATTTTCAAATTAAAATTTAAAAAAGATAATATTTTATTTCCCACAACTTTTATTACGGCTTTTAACTTTCTTCTTTTCTTTTCCCTTTTTAACCTTTTGTTTTTTCTCAGGGGGTGTTTCAGCCGCTGTTGGAGAATTAGGTCTTTTTTCTAAAATATTTCGAAAAAGAATAAAAAAATATACGTGTATAATTAATTTCACGCAATTAGAAAATTTAATTTGAATGTTAATAAACTTACGAGTTTTCTCTCCCTCGTTCTCGACTGTAAATAGAAATCAATTTAAAAAAAAAAAAAAGAAATAGAAATTTTTAAAGATCCATAAAATATTTAATCACTATACTTTGTAATCTCGAATCAGCTTCGGATAACTTTTCTTGGGATTTAGAGGAATCAATAGAAGTTGACTTTGTCTCATCCATTTTATTCTATATAAATATATTATATATTTGATTTATTGTATTTGTATTAACGAAATTGATAAAAAAATTTGTTAAAAATTCTTGCTTTTTACTGATGATTTTATATGTTCTATCGGAATTATTAATTCACCTGATAAAGAAGATAATAGTAAAATTTAAAAATAAATGAACAAAAAATTTCCTAAAAAGATACGGAAAATATTTTATTTGTCAATACAAATATGAGACTTCAATATGATTAGTGTACAAATGAATTTCATTTCATTATATTACCATTTTCAGAAATTACCGGATGTCAAATTGAAACAATGAATTAATTTTTTTTGAAACATTTAAAATTAAAATCTAGAATTCAATATATTTACATTATACTAATTTAGTATTTATTAATGAAGAAAAAAGGTATCACAATGTATGAATTTTTATTTTCAATGAAAATGTTATAAATCGTATAAATCGTGAAATATGCAACACGTGATCAAACTATACGCAGTATTTCAGAGTTCGTCATTGGTCCATTTTTGTAAAAACTGATCATAATTTATAAGCAATAATAAGTAACAATCTCCGCGTGATATCCGTTTCCACCCGTAAAGTCTACGGTCAAACTCCGATATAACGATTATCGGAATCTATGAATATTGACCGACACGTCAATTTCGTGTACACGTAATACGTAATATAGATAATATAGACTCATAGTTAATTCAATAAAAGACTTTTTTTTTCCTCCTCTTCCTCTCTCGCTTCTCTTCCTCCCTCCTCCTTCTCTCCCCTCATCAAACTCATATATTTATTATACTCTTTTTTCTCTTTACGTTTAACTGCTTACACGATATATTAAGGTAAATTTTTGGGTATTTTTGCTGGAGCAGCATGGTGTTATGCGAGGGTGGGAGCATAGCGTGCTTACTTTGTAAGCCTGTGAGTACCAGATTTCTGCAGTCTCACAGTAGAGCTGGTTGGGAGTTTTTGGAACGGTATAGTACTATGCGAGGGTTGGAGCATAGTCGCTTACTTTTGGTAAGCTCGTGGGTACCAGCTTCTGCTGTAGTCCTGCGATAGGACCGAAGGTGAGTATAATTTCCTTGTTATTTTTTGGTTATTTTTTATTTTTATCATGATTTTTTTTATTTCTTTATTATTTTTAGCTTTGGGTATTTTATTGGAGCAGCATGATGTTATGCGTGGGTGGGAGCATAGCGTGCTTACTTTGTAAGCCTGTGAGTACCAGATTTTCTGCAGTCTCACAGTAGGGCTGGTTGGGAGTCTTTTGGAACGGTATAGTACTATGCGAGGGTTGGAGCATAGTCGCTTACTTTTTGGTAAGCTCGTGGGTACCAGCTTCTGCTGCAGTCCTGCGATAGGACCGAAGGTGAGTGTACTTTTTTTTTGTTTTTTTTTTAGTTATTTGTATTTTTTATTATGATTTTTTTTATTTCTTTATTATTTTTAGCTTTGGGTATTTTTGTTGGAGCAGCATGATGTTATGCATGGGCGGGAGCATAGCGTGCTTACTTTGTAAGCCTGTGAGTACCAGCTTTTGTTGTAGTCTCACAGTAGGGCTGGTTGGTTGTGGTACGGCATGGTGCTATGCGTAATTTTCATGGGAGGAGCATAGTGCGCTTCTTAGGAAGTCCCTTGTTGGCAGGGCCGTAATACTTAAACAAATATAAAATCAAAAAAAGTTACGTAAGTAATATTTGAACATATGGATAATTTGAGTTAGAAGTTATTATTAGGAATTTTGTTGTGAATCTTGAGTTCTTGAATAGATACGAGCAGTCAAAAATATTATTCTTTAAATATTGTGTATGATTATAATTACTTAATTTTTGTAAGACCAATTCATCAATTTCTATTAAAAGATCTAATACTTTTATATCGTCATTTAAATTATTAACTAAACCAGTATAAAAATTTTTTAAAAATTGAAGAAATATTTTTCATCCATTCTTTTGTTAATGCAGTTTTAAAAATATTAATGAATGTGCGAAGAATTCTTTCATAATTTGACCTTCTCCTACTTGAATAATTAAATCATAATCATTTCCAGTAGTAAGAAGTTGACCGATATTTTGTGATAAGTCTAATAATAAGTTTTCCTCCACCGTTTTGGCGTTATAAAAAGAGAAACTATAATAAGTATGGTCGTGTGATTACGTTTAATTTTTTTATAATATATATATAACGTACATTGTATGGTGATCATGGTTTAATACGTTTGTAGTTAGTTGAAATATTTGATCATCAAAACATCGGATGGTAAAGGATAAATTATTTTTTTTTTAACTAGAATTTGAGGTTGTTCACATTGTAATCGTAAAATAACAACTTATTCAGGTCAATTCAATTATGTAGAAGACAAATTCTTTCTTCTCATTTCTCGGATATCGTAACATACAAACTAACCAAATTAATGAAAATAAATTAATTGATACAAGTGGAAATTCTGAATTAGATGAATTTATTAAAGAAACTCAAAATGATTCAAAATATTGCGACTTTATTGAATGGATACCAAATAATTACTTAGAAAATGTAAAATATTTAACAAAAGGAGGAAATTCAAATATTTTTTTGTGGAACTTGGAATTTAACCATACCTTTGGCTATAAAAGCTATTAAGGATTCTGATGAACAAATTCTAAATAAGGTAAAAGAAAAAAGTTTCAAACTAAAATAATAATAATAATAATAATAATAATAATAATAATAATAATAATTATTTTCATCTTTCAACTATTAGTTGAAAATGCATCATAATGTCGTAATCCAAATGTTATACCATTTTATGGAATAACAAAAGTACCTAATAGAAATGAATATACTATGGGCTATGGTAATAAGACGCGCAAAATATGGTGATTTACGAAAATATATTAGATTTTTTCCAAAATTAACTTTGGGCCGATAGAGTCGAGATTCTTATAAATATTTCGAAAGCCTTCACGAAATGAAATATTTTTGGTAAATGAAGATAGAAGAATTTTAATAAGTGATTTTGGATTTTGTAAACCTATTGACTCAACAATAGGTAAGTGAAGCAGACCAATATTTTAATTCCTCAATATTTATTAATCAATAATAATTTTATATATTTTAAAAGTTCAGGAAGACATCTAAGGGGTTTTGCCTTATATTGCTCCTGAATAAGCCATATACAAAGCAATCTGAAGTTTATAGCTTAAGTATGATAATGTGGGAATTAACTTCCATTTTTAGGTGATTCTCATGATAAGGATCTTGCACTTCAAATTATTGGTGGTAGAAGACCTGATATTATTAAAGGAACACCCATTAAAAGGAAAAGTATAAAAGTCTTCAATACAGTATGGTTTCGCCAAATTTTTCATTAAATGTATATAAGATTTAAAAATTGATTTTATAAAGTTACATTTATTTAATATTTGTTCTTTTTCTTTTTTAGAATGCAAAACTGAACTGAAATCAAAATCGAAATCGAACCATTTGAATATACTACTAGTATAGCTCCAATTGATTTTTCTAAAAATGACGAAGAACATCCGTAACAAATGATGATTTTGTTGATGTGAAACCATTACCTCAATATGATTCCCCAACAGATTCAAAAGAAAAAAGCACTGAGCCAGGTATATAAAAATGTAAAGAAGTGTATTAATAATAATTTTAAGTTACATATTTATTATATTTTTTATAGAATATGAATATGAAACCAAAACATTTGAATATACTACTAGTATAGATCCGATTGATTTTTCTAAAAATGATGAAGAAGGAGCATCCGTAACGTAAAATCATCACCTCAGTCTAATCTCCCAATAGATTCAAAAGAAAAAACAGATAAAGTAAGTGAAAATTCTGAAACTCAAACACTTGAATATACTACTGATACGTCTCTAATTTATTTCTTTCTGAATAAAAAAGCAAAGCCGCAAATGATGATTAATTTCCTGATGATTACTTTTACCTTAGGGTCGGTTTAATGTCTCATGTTTATGTATTGGGTGTTAAACGCATTTCTACTTTCTTTAGATTTAGTAATACTATTTTAAAAACTATTGTCACTTCACAAAAAAGTGAAAGTGATAATGATGTTCCTTATCAACTTTGGAGACATGAAAATGGTTATCTTATTAATAAACAAACCAACTTATATTTAGATGTTGATAGTGATGTTAGGGTATTTGAATTTAGTATTATAAGTATATTACACTTATATTTTCTAGTAAATTTAATACAAATCATGTGAATTTTAATGTTCTATCATATTAATATTATCGTAATATTATACTATAGGAAAACTTGGTAAACATATTGTCCTTTGTCACCAAAAACCTGATACTAATGGTGCTAATCAACAATGGACTTTGACAAAGGAAGGATATATTGTTCTAAAAAGTCATCCTAAATATGTTATCAATGTGAAAGGAACAAAGATGGTTCACACGTTGTGCTTTCTGATAGTAATTCAGTATCTTTTGCAAGGTGTAATTTTGCCAAGTGGAAAATAATTTCTTTAAACAAGGTCAGATTGTAAATAATAGAAGCTAAAGATCTTAAAAAGGTTGATTCATTCTTTACAGGCGGTAATGTTTCTATTTCTTTAATAGATCATTAATTCATTGTACTGTGAATATTATTTATAAATTTTATTATTTGGTTTTAAAGGAAAGTCTGATCCTTATGTTTAAGTTTCACTATGATAGTCAAGACATTATGACTCAAACTAAATTTATTGAAAATACTTTGGATCCTATTTGGAGCGAAGTTCATTATTTACCAGTAAAAAATATTGGGGATAAATTCATTTTGGATGTAATAGATTTTAATTCGTTTACTAAGGACAAGCCACTCGGTTATGTTATTTTTGAAGTTACTAAGGAACGGTTTCACCTAATGTGTATGTATGAAGGAACACTGAATGGCATTGATAGTAAGTATAATCATTAAAATTATTAGGTTTTTTTATTAATTGAAAGCTAACATACAGTTTAATATTTAGATGGGCCAACCTTTCAGGTCAAGGAAAACTTCATTACAAAGCAAAATTTTACCCTTTAACTTTAGATGCCTTACCAAAACCAACAGAAAATTTCCTTGTTAATCTTAAAGAAAAACCCTTTGATAAATCAACACTTTATATCCTTATTACATTGCAGACACCAAATAGTAGCTTCCCCCCTTCTAACACATTAGCAAACTTGTTTGGTTATTCCGATACAGAAGAACTGTTAATTTGTATAAAAATTATAATCATGATGAGAGAGTCATAAATAATACCAATAAGACAATCTGGACCACTTGTATGGTAAGTTTTAATACTATGTAATTTATGTATAAAAAAGTTATATTATTATTTTTTTTAAAAATCACATTATTTTTATTGTAATTTTATTTTATAGGTATTATGGTTTTTGAGATTTTTATTGAAAGAACACAGAAGTGAATGGGCCGGTATTTATGAACGTTCAGAAAAATATATCACTAAAGAATTAGGTGGTGATTTAGAAGTTGAAGAAATTGCAATCGCAGGTGGAAGAAAAGCCGTACGTGAAAGATTTGAAATCAAAGATGGTAAATAATTTAATTCACATTTACTTATTATATTAGAGGTTTATATGTATTTATCAATTATTTTGTTTAATTTCAAAATTATTTATTAATTAATTAAGATTTAATAGTTCATTCAAAGACAATTGTCATTGCTCGTCGTACCGTTTCCGTCCGTCTAGTACGTCTTCTCTTGAGCTATCAAAAAGAATCGGGTTGTTTTGAACTTGATAATCACTTGGCTGAAACTCTTGATTTCAGTTCGGTTCGGCCGAAGAAGCAAAGAAAAGTTTGGAAACTCATTTCTCATCTTATTCAAAAATTTCAAAACTTGATGTAAACTTACATAGCTCGGCTATAATGATTTGGTTTGTAAGATATGTATTGGCCGATTTCAGAATTGATAAATATCAAATCACATCAAAATGGATTACTGAACAGGTAAAGGGATAAACAAATCCAAGAAACTTTGTCAGAAAGAGATTCGATGTTGATGATGAGGTATTAAAAGTAGATGAAACTTTCAAATCTACTTTGGCTCTTAATATTCCTCTAAATATAAAAAAGGAAATCGAAGATGAAATAAAAAGTGAAAATGGTGCTATTGTAACTCAAGTCATTATTGGACTTCTCAAAATTAAAATTAAAAATGCCAGAAATCTTCCAAAGTCAAGTTTATTGTTTACTTATTCAAAACCAGATCCTTATGTTAGAATTCTTGATGCTTCTGGTCAGGAAATTGTTCGAACTCGTACTATTTCTGAAACGACTGAGCCAAAATGGGAAGAAGTTCATTATGTTTCAATTCATGGCACGGGAGAAAACATTACCTTTGAGATTATGGATAAGAATTTATCTGTAGCTGATAAACCTTCTTGGTACTTATGTTTTTGAAACCGCCAAAATTGTAAGAAATCTGAAGACGGTTCCTATGTTACTAGTGAACCTATAAGAGAATTGTTCTCTCTTGTTATTGGAAGAAAACCTAGTGGTGGAGAATTAGATTTGGAAGTCCAATTCGTTTCTGCTCAATATAACTGGAAAGAAAGTTTCGTCTTTAAAAAAAAAACTCTCACTATTGAACACATTTATATTATTCTTAGTTGGAGAAATACTAGAAGTTACTTCGAATTCTCCGATGATATAGCTCATTTCTTTAATTATAAATCTCAGGAAGAATTAAAAAGTGATTTCTTGAAACTTACCACTGAATTCACTGAATTGCAAATTTAGGCGAATCTTCTATTAGTACTTATTAGTAATCATATATTTAAAAATTTCATGTTGGAAATTTTGTAAAGCGTGGAAGAATATTTCAGCAGATAGTGAAGAGTGGTTAGGTTCGGAAATTGATAATATTGATAAATTATATGAAATTTGTGAAAATTTCATTATCAAGAGATTTAATATTAAAGATTTAGATGAAGAACAAAAAAACATTTTGATATCGGGTAAAATTATTTCTCATTCTATTTTTATGTTATTTTTCATTTGATCATTTTTTAGGTTAATGCTTCAAATTTCAAAATTTCATTAGTTAAAAAACGAGTTATCATTACACGTAAATTGGTTACTATTCGTGTCATTCGTCGTATTCATGTCTATCAAACTCAAGATGGGGCCATTCCTCTTGACAAGACCGCTGAATTACTTGGATTCGAAAATACTGAAGACCTTAAAAAAGAACTTCAAACTTACTTTAAGAGTGGAAAGCGTTAAGAAAGTTGAACATTTATGGGCTTGTGCTTGCATAATTTTGTACCTACGTAATAGATTATCGCATTGAATGGATTGATATCTTTAACAAAGCTTCTGAATATTTAATTATTCAATTTAATGATTTAGGCTTGGAAAGTGATGTTTTAGAATGTGCTAAAATTTATAATTGATCGATATCAAGTCGATAAAGAAACTTTTGAGGAAGATAATAAATTTGATTTTGACATTCAAAACAAGAACAAAAGCATGTCACATGAAGAGGTCGAACGTAGTAAAATTATTAAGGAACCAAATACTTGGGACATTAAGATGAAGTAGAAGGTATACATATTATAACTTGGTTTGAATAACATGAATATATATATATTAATTAAATCTATATCTATATTTTAGATTCTAAATATATTACTCAAACGTATAATTTTTCTTTGAACGGTAAGTTATTTATAAGTACTTATTTAATTAATATAATTAATATTGGGTTACTAGGTTAATAATGAGCTTTAGAAATTTTAAGATTAACTCTGAAATGACAACAAAAAATTTTAATTGTTTGACTTTAAAGTACTTTTAAAAATTAGTATGAAAATAACTATGTAAATAACTAATTTTTCCATTTTTTACCTTAGATTTGAAAGAGGCTTTTGATAACAATGGTAATGAATGAATTACGTTAAGTTCATTATCCACATATATTTATGTATTTTTATGTCACATTATTTTATACTAAAAATGAAACTATAAATGTCTGTATTTTAATAGTGAAATTATAATAAATAAATAAAGCAAATTTCAAATTTATTTTCAAGGATAGTTGAAAAATAAGATAATTAATTTGCGATAACTAATCATCCTCAAAATAAATAATAAATTAAGCAAGAAATTTTCAACTATTGAAAATTCAGTCCAAATTAGTATAAAATTTATGTTCGGAGCGGACAAAAAAAAATCGATCACGTGAATTTCTCTGTCCTCCACGTGATCGTAACCCAATGAAATCGCAAATTTTAGTTTTTTCGCTCCGAACTCCCGTTTCCTAGTAGATAAATATTCATGTTTTACAATATATTATTGCCATAACGATCTTGTTTTTTATTGGTTAATGTTAGAATAATATTATATGGTCGAGTCTATATCCTAGAAGTCCTAAAGAATACTGTATTTAGTGTCTGGAATTTTAAATTTAAACCGAAAAAATAACAGGAGAATCACACTTTGTAATGTACCTGTCAATATTGTAATTGTATTATTTTCAAATCTAGATAAAAAACTAAAATTTAGTAATTTAAATAAACATGTAAAATAGAAAATATGTTTATGAAAAATCCGATAATCTTGAACGATTATTGATTAATTCAGTGTAAGCCTTGTTTAAATCTGCAATAATATAAAGAAGAAAATTCAACAACAAGATTTTTTTATTTTCATTACTGATGAATTATAAATAAAATTACTTACGGTCCAAAGAAAATGCATATGTTTGAGTATTATATCTAGGATCTAAAAAAAAAAAGGATAATTGTAAATAAATATTGCACACCACTTTCATTATAAATTATATCAATTAATATAACCTTCTTCTGTTTCATTAATATCGACATCTTCCATTTTATATCGATATCCTATAATTTTATGATATTATTAATATATTATTAAACATATATGAGTAATAAAAGTAGTACAAGTTTATATACTAACCTCCTTCTATTTCATTAATATCGGCATCTTCCATTTGATATCGATAACCTATAATTTATATGATATTATTAATATATTATTAGTAGTAAAAGTTGTACAAGTGTATACATAAATAAAGCATAAATTTTAATATTGCTAATTAATTTTAATCTAATAAAATGAATTTTTTTTTTAAAAAAAAAGGTTGTTAAGTCTCACCTGATTTTGGAAATTGAGATGCTTCGGGAAGTCGAGATCTTCGGAGAGGGGGAGGTGGCGCTGGTAGAGACGACTGGAAAGGTGGAAATGGAGGTGGTGGTGGTGGCGCTGGTAGAGACGATTGGAAAGGTGAAGGTGGATGTTGAGATGCTGAAAGGAGAGGAGAAGGTGGAAGCTCTTGGGGAACTTGAGGTATATTAAGAGAATATTCATATGCTTTTGTCTCATAATCTAAAAAAATCAAATAAAAAATGTAAATATTTAAATAATAGTATATACATTTAATTTTTACATATTATATGCCTGGTTCAATGTCTATATCTACAAAACTGTTTTCATTCGACATAAATAATTTTTCTTCACTCTCAGAGTGATAAGCTGGAAGCATGTTATCAAAACCAAATGATTTAGTTTCACGTTCTAAAAAAAAATTTAAATATTTTTAATATAAATATTCGTTTAAAATTAATATATGTTTATAGTTTGTATACCTGATTCAATTTGTGGCGGTAATGAATAAAAAGCAACTTTTGACGAAACAGTTTTATCATCAGCCATTTTACATAATTCTATCATTTCTTCAAATATTTTTGGTAAAAGAGATGCATCAGGCCTTTTTAATGGATCAGAATCCCAACATTGTTTCATAATATTAGTATAAAAATCTGGTGTTCCTTCAACAGTATTAGGTCTCAATCCATCAAGTATTGAAAGTGCAAGTTCTACGTCATGATGTTTATTTGAAAATGGAGGTTTATTTGATGTTAATTCCCACATTATCATACTAATACTATATACTTCTGATTGTTTTGTATACGGCTTATTTCTTAGGACTTCAGGAGCAATATAAGGCAAAACTCCTTGAATGCTACTTGAAACTTTAGTAGAGAATATATAATTTTATTAATAATATTCATAAAGCGAAAAGAATATATATATATATATTTTATATTTTTGATTATTTACCCATTTCCGAATCAATTGGTTGACAAAGCCCAAAATCACTTAAAAAAATTCTATCAGCTTCATCTACTAAAATATTTTTACAATGAAAATCCATATGGAGTAAATTCATTTGGTGTAGAGAATTTAAAGCTTTTGACAGTTCAATAAGAATTTTTATTCTATCAGTCCAAGTTAATTTTGGAAAAAATTTACGTATATAATTTCGTAAATCTCCATGCTCTGCATGTTTTATTATCATGGCATATTCATCTCCTTCAGGTGATTTTGTTATTCCATAAAATGGTATGATGTTTTGACTACGACATTTATGGTGAATTTTAAGCTAAATTATTAAATTAAAAAAAAAATTAATTTAAGAAAGAAAAAAATAAAGTAATTATTATTAATTTTTTTTTTTACCTCGTTTAAAATATTGTCATTGATATTATTAGAATCTTTAGTAACTTTTAAAGCGATATTAGTTGACAACTGGTTTAATTTCCAAGTTCCAGAATAAATTTTTGAATTTCCTCCAAATGTTAAGTATTTTATATTTTCTAAATTTGAACATGATACCCATTCAATAAAATCATCACAACATTTCGAATTTAATTGGGTTTCTTTAATAAATTCATCTATAATAAGATTTCCACTTTCAATTTTGTTTTCTTGATTAATTTGTACGCTACGAATTTTACTGCATTCATTTATCCGCGAAGGAGAAAGAAATTGTTTTCTACAAAGTTGATTTGAATAATTTATTATTCTTTGATTACATTGCATACAAATGCTAGTATTTTTTGAATCATCCAATATATCCATGTTATTTTTTTCTAATAATAAAAGTACTAAAATCAAATTCCTTTATATATTTAAAATCTTAAATTAGTAATCATGTAAACATTATTCTGTGCAAGATGAAATGCCGAAGGCTGAGGATTTATTTGCAACATCTATACCCGTTATAATAGTTTTTGTCTAACCGAATAGTACAACAAGGGATCGGCACTCAAGCTATATACATCTCTTCAGGGCCAGAATTTTCATATCCCGCCTGGCATTATCAAGAAGGGAAGGATCTACATGCTATTTTTATGTAATGTACGGCAATTAGGTTTGGGTAGTTTACTATGTTAGATAGGCCAGTAGTTCTTTTTAGTTTGTAATTTTCTGTATCAATGGTTTATACTGTTTACTTTATTACTTTAATAAATGAGCCACTCTATTTGAAAATTAGCCGAAATCAAATACTGTACTTTAATATTATTTATACGAATTCATTAATTTTTATTTTAAATATATTTCGATTATGATTGGTAGATTCCCACAGTTGATCATCTACTATATCATACATAAACGATTTCTTTAATAATCATCGATCAAGGACTGGTGAATTTGATTGAGTTAATCATGCTCGATTATTGATCAGGTTCAAGTCAATGTCCGATCTATATTGTATATAATGATACAAATAATTTTTTTTTTCGTAATGATGCTACGATCATTACGTATATAAGGGTAAGGGAAACTAAATCAGGGTTTTAATAACACTAACAAAAAAAAATTACACTTTTTAGAGTGAATTTTATAAAGAGGGGAATGAGTTTTTTAGGATTTATGTTGTAATACTTTTTTCTTTATTTATTAATAATTGTTTGTTACGTGAGATTACGTAAATCCTATAAAAAATTTATTCCGTATTTTTTTATTCCATGTTATTTCCGTAAATATATCATATTCACGGAGTTTTTACAGAAATTACGGATAAAAATTTTTTACAGGAAAATCTTTTTCCCATTTATCGATTCGAAATTAAAAAAGACATTTTTATTATCTAATAGTGAAATTATAATAAATAAATAAAACAAGCTCAAAATTATTTTTAAAAAATAAAAAAAAAAATTAATTTGTGATCTCTAATTATCTAGAATAAATAGCCTAAATTAATTTGGTATTGCCGTTATTTGTTAGTTAATGTTAGAGTAATATTATATGGCCGAGTAAAATACTAAAGGATATTTAGTGTCTGAGAATTATATAAATATATATAATTTAAACTTGAACAAATAATAGAATTACAACATTGAATCACACTTTGTAATGTACTGTTTTCAATAGTGTAATTGTAATTTCATTATAATTATTATCAAATCTAAGATAAAAATTAGTGATTTAAATAGATATGTAAAATAGATACCCAAACTCATAAACTGAGGTCCTTTTCTATTCAAAAAAAAAAGACTTGAACATTACTTAACAAATTCACGTAAGAATTTAAATTATATCACGATCACGTGACGTTGTTAAAGGTGTACTAATTATGGAGCTCTTAAAAATGAATATTTTTTCCTACTCTATGTAAAATAGAAAATATGTTATGAATCATCAGATAATCGAACGATTATTAATTAATTCATTGTAAGCCTTGTTTAAATCTACAATAATATAAAGAAGGGCTTAAATAAGATTTTTATTTTCATCACTGATGAATTATGATAATTAAATAAATAAAATTGCTTACGGTCCAAAGAAAATGCATATGTTTGAGTATTATATCTAGGATCTAAAAAAGATATTTGTAAATAAATATGCACATCATCTTCACTGTAAATTATATCAATTAATATACTGACCCTCTGTTCGATTATTATCGACATTTTCCATTTGATATCGATATCCTATAATTTAATTGATATTATTAAACATATATGAATAGTATAAATTTGTATGCTAATTAATTTAGTGAATTATTTGAAAAAAGAGATTGTTGAGTCTTACTTGATGATTTAGTAAGTTGAGATGTTTCGGGAAGTCGAGATCTTTGGAAAGGAAGAGGTAGAGGCGATGGGTATGCATTTGTTGAAGATGACTATTTCAAAATAAAGAAATATTTTAATTAACATTCTAAAAAAAAAAGAATGAATGAATGAATGAATTTAATGTTAGTTACCACTGGAAGATATTGAGAAGAAACAGGTGATTGTATTCGATTAGAATCAAAGAATTGTGGTGGTCGAGAAAGTGTTGAATTAGGAGGATAAAAATTTGAAGAAGAACTAGGATGAGGAGGATAAACATTTGAAAATTTAGAAGAATAATTATTTGAATAATTAGGAGGGGGATAAACATTTGAATTCGCTTGAAGATGTTGAGGCATTCGGAAAAGTGGTGGGTATGCATTTGTTGATAACTATTTCAAAAGTAAAGAAGTATTTAAATTAACAACCCATTTTTTAAAAAAAATAAATAAATTTTAACATTAGTTACCACTGGAGGATATTGAGAAGATTGTTTTCGATTAGGATTAGAGAATTGTTGAAATTGACAACCATATGAAGGAGTTGTAGAAGGGGGATAAACATTTGAAGGAGGATAAGCAGGTGGATATAAAGGTCCTTGTGCCGGTGGTTGAAGAGGTAAAGAACTACTATAAATAGATTGATTTTCTACAAATTTCTGAGGATATTGATAAGATTGGTTTCGATCAGGACCAGAAAATTGTTGTTGTTGTTGTTGAAATTGTTGAAATTGATAACCATCATTTGAAGGAGTTGTAGAAGGGGGATAAACATTTGAAGGAGGATAAGCAGGTGGAGCAGACGAAAATCCTTGTGCCGGTGGTTGAAGAGGTAAAGAACTACTATAAATAGATTGATTTTCTACAAATTTCTGAGGATATTGAGAAGATTGTGTTCGATTAGGTTGTTGTTGTTGTGGAAATTGATAACCATTATTTGAAGGAGTTGTAGAAGTAAGATAAACATTTGAAGGAGGATAAGCAGGTGGAGCAGACATAGGTAAAGAATTATTATGCGTAGGTTGTACAACTTTCTGAGGTGGAGGAGGTGGTGGTTGTGTCGCTTGAAAATATTGAGAATGTTGATTAGATGCTTGTAAAGGGAGAGGTGGAGGTGGAGGCCCTTGAAGAGTATGAGGTAACTCAAGAGAATATTCATATGCTTCTGTCCTATATTCTAGAGGATATTCATGTGCCTTTGTCTCAGAATATTCATGTACTTTTGCCTCATATTCTAAAGAATATTCATATGCTTTTGTTTCATATTCTAGAAAAAAATCAAACAAAAATGTAAATATTTAAATAATTAATAATGTATATAATACATTCAAATTTTTATATTTTATGTGCCTTGTTTAGTAACTACAAAACTGTCTTCATTCGGCATCATTTTTTTTTCAGAATTGAATGTTTTAGTTCCATGTTCTAAAAAAAATTTAAATAATTTTAGTATAAATATTTGATTAAATTAATATGTATATTGATTTGTATACCTGAATCAATATATGATGATAATGAATTAAAAGCAACTATTGTTGATACTGTATTATCATCAGTCATTTTGCATAGTTCTATCATTTCTTCAAATATTTTTGGTAAAAGAGATGCATCAGGCCTTTTTAATGGATCAGAATCCCAACATTGTTTCATAATATTAGTATAAAAATCTGGTGTCCCTTCAACAATATTAGGTCTCAATCCATCAAGAACTGAAAGTGCGAGTCCTACGTCATGGTGTTTATTTGAAAATGGAGGTTTATTTGATGTTAATTCCCACATAATCATACTAATACTATATACTTCCGATTGTTTTGTATACGGCTTATTTCTTAGAACTTCAGGAGCAATATAAGGTAAAACTCCCTGAATGCTATTTGAAACTTTAGTAGAGAAGATAATAACTTTATTAATCATATTCACGAAGTAAAAAGATTATATATACCGGTATATATTTGATTATTTACCCTTTTCCGAATCAATTGGTTGACAAAGCCCAAAATCACTTAAAAAAATTCTATCATCTTCATCTACTAAAATATTTTTACAATGAAAATCCTTATGAAGTATATTCATTTGATGTAGAGAATTTAAAGCTTTTGACAGTTCAATAAGAATTTTTACTTTATTAGTCCAAGTTAGTTTTGGAAAAAATTTACGTATATAATTTCGTAAATCTCCATGTTTTGCATGTCTTATTATCATGGCATATTCATCTCCTTCGGGCGACTTTGTTATTCCATAAAATGGTATGATGTTTTGACCACGACATTTATGGTGAATTTTAAGCTAAATTATTAAATTAAAAGAAAAAGAGTGAATTTTAAGAAAGAAAAAAATGAAGTTAATAATATTTTTTTTTTTTTTACCTCATTTAAAATATTGTCACTGATATTATCAGAATCTCCAGTAACTTTTAAAGCGATATTAGTTGACAACCGGTTTAATTTCCAAGTTCCAGAATAAATTTTTGAATTTCCTCCAAATGTTAAATATTTTATATTTTCTAAATTTGAACGTGATATCCATTCAATAAAATCATCACAACATTTTGAATTTAATTGAGTTTCTTTAATAAATTCATCTATAATAAGATTTCCACTTTCAATTTTGTTTTCTTGATTAACATGTACGTTACGAATTTTACTGTATTTATTTATACGTAGAAATTGTTTTCTACAAAGTTGATTTGGATAATTTATTATTCTTTGATTACATTGCATGCAAATGCTAATACATTTTGGATCTTTCAACACGTTCATCTTTGTTTCTAACAAAATTCAAAAAATGTATTATAGAAAATTCCTTTATATGTTTAAACCTTTAATCATGTACATTTTTCGTGCAAAGATGAAATGCTGATTGATTTGCACATCTAATGCTCATTGTAATAATTTTTGTCTAACACAACTTGGATCAGCATATATTCCGCATGGGTATTACTGTATCAAGAAGGGAAGGATCTACATGCTATTTTTTGTGTTGCAGATACAACACGTTGTAACGCATGTTGCAACTAATACACAGGTTAATTTTTTCTATATTACTATTATTATAGAGGTTAAGACGGTTAACTGGTTAAGACATTGGTTAACCGGTTAAAACTATTTTGACCATAAATCCATAATTCTAGTCAGATTTAGAGATTGCCCTGTAAAAAAAGTCAATCCGTTTTTTTTATTTTATCTTTTTTCCGTAAAAGGCTCATATTTTCCTAGTCAGATTTACTTAATGCGGCCCAGAGGCTTGGTAATTTCAGTCATGTGTTCCCAAACTCGAAGTTTTAATACCTATTTATTAATAATGGTATTGATGAAAAATAATCTTCAATGTGTTAGTAAAATCAAAAATCAGTACAAAAAAAAATTTTTGATATTTTTCATATTAACCGATTAATTAACCGGTTAAGGTTTTTTTTGGACGGTTCCAACCTCTAATTATTTATTGTAGTACGACAATACAACGTTGTAACATATGTTGCGACATTGCGCAAATTTCAAAAATACAACCCCAACTCTAGTAGTTACCTTTTAATATGATTCTCGGGATCCTATTACAAGCCAAGCTATTTCTGTTAATTATTATTCATTCTATTTTGCGTTAATATCATTGTCATGAAATGATACATACTACAAATAAATTTTTTTTAAATGTTTTAAATGATACAATTCTTGAGTCATTCTATTTGAAAATTGGCCGAAATCAAAATACTTTAATATTATACTGACAAAGGCGACAATATATAAAATTTTATTTATGATGTAAATAAATTTATAAATTGAAACAAGGCGAAATAATAGGATGAGAAAATTATGGAGATTTCTGCAAGACAAAATAATATTCTGTAACTACTACATGGATATTAATTAATTGGATGCTGAAGACTCCTAATAATATATATAATGGGCTAATGCATTTACAGTAATAATAAATAAAATTAGACCATCGACAAAGGACTAGTGAATTTGATTTTGCTCGATTATTAATCGGTTCAAGTCAATACTCGATCTATATTATACAGTATAATCATTACGTGAACTTTGAAAATTTCTATTTCGTAAAATTTCTTTAAAATTTTAAATTCGAGTTCAAATTTGATTCGGATTATAGACCGATAATAAGTTGCATATTAGATAATCACGAAAATTTTAGCTAATTTAGTTTTTGACAAGTGTAATTAACACTTAATTAACACTAAAAAAATTCCACTTTTTAATATAGGTTTTATGTTCTGTGCCTTTCCTTATTTGTTAAATAATTGTTTTTTACGTGGGGTTACGTAAAAAATCTTTTCCCTATTTTTAGATTCGATATTAAAAAAAATTTGAATATTTTGTTTAAAAAAGGAGTAAAGCGATAGTCTGATCGATAAGTTAAAAATTTATCAATTAAGATGATATGTACGGTATATTAAAGTTAATGCTCGTAACAAATTCAAATTATACGAGATGACATATCATAACAAAATCACCTAAGAAAAATTAACGTTATTAATTTAATCGTCTCCTATTTAGAATCTCATTCAAATTTACAATAAAAAAAGAACATCTATTATAATTAGGATTTAATGTTTGGCGATTATAATAATCATTGTTTTAAATAAACTTTATAGTGTTTAATTTAAAATAATTTCAAGGAAAAGAACACTGAGATTTCAGTTAGTAGCTTAATTAAATTATGCCTAGCTGTTAAGTGAAAATGGACTGCATTTATATTGGGTTAATAGCACTATAGGCAGAATGCTTATTCCATTAAACTCAGTGACATGACCTAATATATCTTTAAATTTAGAACGTAAACTTATCTAAGTAAATGTAATAATTGGGATAATGTTAAAATTAAATCTTTATAGAGGATTTTCAATAAACAAACCAATGGTAAAGATATAAAAAATAGGAGATTGGTGACTACATTCTTATATGTTAAGTGTTAATACATTCACTTAGTAAATTATTTATTTTCAAATTAATGTAATACACCTTTAGTTAGTCATATAATATATATATATATATATAC